AAAGACACATCACTGGGCAGAAGGGAGCCCGTGGAATGCACAAGCCAGGATGTAATCCATATGTTTTTTGCAGGGATGGGGAGGACAACTTCTGAGTCCACGTAGGACCTGGAAGCAAAGGAAGGACGAGGAAGAAGCCTGGTGGGCCCCTGAGGGTTAAGAACTAGGCTCTGGGCTGGGCGCCGCAGCTCAAGCCTGTAATCCCAGCACTTTGGGAGGCTGAGGTGGGTAGATTACCTGAGGTCAGGAGTTCGAGACCAGCCTGGCCAACACAGCAAGACCCTGTCACTATTTAAAAAAAAAAAAAAAAAAAAAGAACTAGACTTTTAGAGGTCTTGGAATAAGATTCCTTCTCTCCACTGTACCCCCAGCCTCTCACTAACCCCTGTCCTGGATGACTCTAGGGAAGTGAGTAATAACAAAGTCTGGAGGAGGTGGGGTGAGAAGTAGGGGCCCTACAAGAAAGAGTTGGACATTCAAAGAGCCTGGGGCTGTGTTGGGGGGGGGGTGCACGCGTGGGGATTGGAGAGACCCTAGAGAAGCTGCTCTGGAATGAGCAGCGATGATAGGCCATCAGTAAAAGCTGGAGGGAGGTGTCCCACATTACAAAATGTCCTTCCCTCAAGGGACAAGTTGAGGAAGGGGAGTTCCCAGTATTCCCCAGCCACTCAGCCTCATTGTCTCACCGAACTGTAGAGCAGTCCCTCAGCATTCATGGCCATGTAGTGACCCAGCTTGGCACTCTGGATGGTGACCACACGGAGCCCCACAGGGATCAGGTTGAAGTGGGCTGGGGGGTAGAGAGAGGGAGCATCAATAACCAGGCTCTGACCCTCACCTGAGCCCCCCTCCTCACAGCTCCACTTCTTCCGTTAGGGGTCAGGAAGACAGACCAGTGGCAACAGAAGCTGAAAGGGGAACAGGAGTGTCATCTGCTGTCCCCATTCTCCCCCTTCCCACCCAGCGGCCGGCTTCCCCTCTCACTGAAGGAGCTGGTATCCTCTGGGGTGCCCTGGATGCTCCCATCGGGATTTGCCTGGAGGTAGAAACCCTGGCGGCAGAAGAGTTTGGTGACGATGCCTTTGAGCTGAGGCTCTGGAGAGAGAGACATTCATCTTTGAAAATGACATCTCTGTTCCCAGCAACATACCTACACTTGGCAGGATCAGAGGGAAGAAAGGAGAATGAAAGGAAGGAAGAGGGTCCCAGGGCCCCAGCCCTCTTACCCTCCAAGCACGCTCTCTCCCACCTCTAACTCCTGGGAAAGCTGGTGTGGGTCCCTTCTGTTTCCTATAACCAGGAGCTTTCAGTTTAATTTATTGAAATGTATTTAAATGGCTTAATTCCTACCCTACAGCTCAACCAGAAGGGGGGAGGAGAGGGGGAGGAGGAAGGGGAGAGAGATATCAATAGGCAGGGGACAGAGGGAGACCACAGGGGCACCGAAGGGGCAGTGTGTTTGCGAAGGTGGGGGGCAGTGGCAGCAGCAAGTTGACCACAGGGTAGGGGCTCTCCCTCGGGCGTGGGGGTGGGACTGGGCCTGACGCTGACTCAGCACCTGCTGCGGCTGCCGCTAGCTTGGCGAGAGCCTTGCCTTGGCCCAGAGCCGGACTGTCTGACACTGACCCATCTGTCTGTCTGTCTGTCTGTCTGTCTGTCCGTCTGCTGGCTCGCGGGGGCCCAGTTCTCCCCGAGGCTCAGCCTCTCTCTTTCGGCCAGGTAACCCGCCTGGGGTAGGGGGACCTTACCAAGGATATGGGGGGTGGGGGCTGAGATGGAGAGACAGGCTGAGTCACGTGGGGGCCCAGTCCCACTCAGAGGGTGGGCTGCGGACTGTACCACTATGGGCAGCTGGTGGTGCGGGGAGGAGGGCGTGAGGGAGCTGCCCTTAGGGGAGTTGGGAGCGGACGGGAGCAGAGCCAGAGGGAGTCCCTGACTGTCGTACCTGGACGGGGACCACACTGAAACTCTCATAACTCTCCTCCCCCATCGCTTGCTCTCTGCCGACTTCCCTGTCCCCCCCTTGTAGGTGGTACGACCCCCAAGACTCGGCGCCCACCTCTAGCCGTGAACTGTGTCTGAGTTCCACCCAGCATAGGGTCCCCTGAGCCTACGGGACCCGATTTCGGAGTGGCGCGGGGGTGATGGGAGGGGGTGCCCAGCTCCGTTCTTGAAGCGCAGGTCACGGGAGGAGGGCGCATAGAGGGCTGGCTGGCGAGGTAGCTGCAAGGACACCCGAGGGAGAGCTGGGGAGATTGGCTCGGAGCCAAGAGAGCTCGACCAGGAGGAAGCAAGCCCAGGGGTGGAGGAGCGGGAGAACCGGGATGGGCGGGGGCGACGGGGGGGCGCGCGGCTGCAGCTGCAGAAACCCTTGGGGTGACCCAGGCGTCTGGAACCCCCTAGGCCCCTCTGCTCCAGATTGAAAGAATCGCGAGAACCGGCACGTAGGCGGAGGACGGTGGGGGTGGGGACTGCTGTGTTGGGGAGGTGGGACGAGCAGGAACTGCGAGGCTTTCGGGGCGCCACACTTAGCCCATCAAGCCTTCCCCTTGACCTCGAAAATAAGGTGACTCCAGGTTATGGACAAAAGAAAAGGGGAAACTGAGGCACAGCCTGGTAGGGACTTTGCTGTCCTGGCCCACCCCCTTCCACTTTCGGGGATCCCCTCAGCTGGGCCCTATTCTTCAGAGTCCCTGGCCTCAACCTCCCAGGCAGAGAAACATCTGGCCGGGAGACCCCGCCCCAGCCGCACTCACCCGGGCCGCGGTCTGGCCGCGCCGGCCGCCCCCCGCACAGTCGCACCTTGGACAGCAGGATGAGGAGCTGCTTCTGGCAAAGGGACTTGGTGCCGCGGGGACACACGCGCCGCTGCGCCGACACCGGCCGGTTGCCCCCGGGCTCGCGGACCTCCCGCTTCTGCCGGATCAAGCTACTGGCCAGCGCCGCCATGGCGCCCCGGGAGGAGACACCCCCAAACCGGCCGGCGCCCGGAGCGCGCTGGGCTCCCCGAGAGGAGCCCGCTCACTAGGGCATGCTCTTGACGCTCAGGCCCCTACTTGCTGCCCCACCCACAGGACCTGAGGAGAAGCCCCAGACTACCCCCAGGTTCCCCCTCCACAGCAGCCAGCTTCCACCCGTGGGCCCAGTGCTAGCGCCACCAGATCCAGCAGCCTAAGCAGTCCTCAGTTGATCCCACCCTCGAGTTTTGCCTCGTATTGAAAACGTCCCCTTTCCCTCCTCTCCAGTGTCTGTCCCCACTTCACCTGTCCCAAAGCCAAGCCCCCCAAAATTTCCAAGACGTGGTTTAAATATCTCCAGACACCTTTCCACTGTATTTTGGGGCACACTCCTACCAAATCCACTCTTGTAATCTACAGGGTGTGGGACTTTAGCTTTGGGGATATCGATCACCTCACCCCTACTGGGGCACTGCCAATGTCAGGAAGGAACCCAACCTTGGTGTTTTTTCCCTTGCTACACTCTAAGCGGAGGGGATCCCCCACTTTTTTCACTGAAATCTCCCCAAAACATCTCAGAATATCCAGGTTGCCCACGTTCAGTAAGACGGGGCTCCCAGACCCTCTGGCTGGATAATACCTTTTTCACCAAGTCCCCCCGTGTCTAGTAGCCTAGAATTCTAGCGGCCAAGACCCTTTCTTCACCTTCACACCCTCCAGTCCTTTTGAAGTCACCTCCAAATCCACCCTTTCTAGTGGATACACCAGGTAGTTTGAGGTGTCTTCTGCCACCTCAAAATGAGGCACATCCCTGTTATGTTTTTCTACGCCCTGGCTGCCCCTTAAATTTTATTGGGGACAGCTGGTACAGTTTAGATCCCACACCCTCCAATCTAACCAGCCCCCCCCCGAGAGAGGAGTGCACCCACGTTGTCACCAGTCCCCAAATGTGAACAGGCCCCCCTACAAATCAGAGCGGATCAGAGCTTCCTGCGACAGAGCTTCCTCGTCCTCCCCGGGATTGCCTATAGCACCCCCTCTTCCTTTCCCCGACGCCCCTCAACCTGTCCTGTCCTGTTGATCCGGCGGCGGGTGGCGCTGGCTTCGGCTCCAGGCTCCTCCCTCCCTGTCCCCCGCAAACGGAGCTTCCCCCCACGCCCGGCTAGGCGTCCCGGACCCTCAAGGAGTGAGGGTGTCTCTGCGGAGCTCCCCGGTCGGGCGAAGTCAGAGCACTGGGCCGGTGGCTGGACCAGGCAGAGCGGCGGCAGCGGCTGGGGGAAGCTGAGGCGGCGGCGGCGACGGCAGTTCCCCCTCCTCGGAGAGCCGGCCCGGGGGCGGGGCAGGGGGCGGAGACGCTGGGAAATAGGAGGGGGAAGCTGGGCTGGAGGAACCCCAGGGTTCCTTGGAGGCAGAGAGTGGGGACTGTGTCTTACAAGCAGGCAAAGCCGAGGCAAGGCCGCACACCTCAGGCTTCAGAGGAGGAGGGACAAGGGGACTTTCACGACACAACCCTGGGTGGAAAGGAGAGGTTGGGCTTAAGGGAGACGGAATGGCGGACGCTGGGAGAATGGAGAGGGACCCTGCTGGCTGGGATGTCAGTGAGGACAGAACCGCACGAGGAAAGTGGAGGAAGAACTGGAGAGATGGAGGCGGGGTCGTGGTGAGATCCAGCCTCGGGCGAAATCCGGCCTCCTTAATATCTCTGCCTCTGAGCCAAATTGTGTGAGCTCCTGGTCTCCATTAACTCCTTTCCCCGTTTGGTCAGCAAATACGTTCCTCCCGTTTCTATTGGTCCCTAAGAGAAATGACCAAGAGAACTGGACGGTTTCTGGAAGCTGCCCCTGGGCAGAGTGCTGGCCGCAGATGTGGAGAGTTGCGAGGCTGGAACGTGGCGACCCGTGCTGGGGGCCGGGCTGGGGGCGCAGAGGAGGAAACATTGAGGAGGCCTTCCAGAAGGGGCCCTTCAGGCCCAGGGCACTCTGTCAGCCCCCCCAGGCAAGGGGCCAGCAGTGCCCCCCAGGTCCCGCTCGCCCACGGAGGCACTTCCACCAGTAGGAGCAGCGTCTTTAATGGGCCCCGCCCCCCACGCCCGCCAGACCGCCCCCCTTGCGGGCCACCTTGGCCTCCTCCACCGCGGCGCGGAGAGCCCTGGCAGGGTCCCCGCGGAGCCGGGCCAACGCCCCGAGCAGCGCAGCCGAGCCGTCCCCCGTACGGAGCTCTCGGCCGCTCAGAAAATAGTGAGGCAACGTTCCAGCCTCGAGCACTCGGCCGAGCTCGTCCAGCAGCCCGAGGCAGCAGGCGCCTGCGTTTTCCGGCCGCGCCAGGTAGAGCGCAGGCAGCCGCTCGCACGCCCAGTACAGCAGCGTCCGCAGGAGGTACGGCGCCGTCGCCCGGGTCCCGGCCACCAGCGGGCGCAGTAGCGCCTGGGCCGCCGCGTGCGCCTGCAGCAGCGGCGCTGGTATGCGCGCTTTGAGCGCCAGCTCCTGGCGGGCGAAGCAGAGCTGCCAGGCGGAGGCGCATGGCCGCTCGGTGCCGCCACCCGGCACCAGGTAGAAGGAAGCCGACTCAGAGGCCAGTGGGCCAGCCCAAGAGTGGCTCCGAGCCCCCTCGGGCCAGCCGGCCACGGACAGCACTGGGATCAGGTCGAAGAGCAGGAGGCGGCGAGGGGGCTCAGGGGTAGCCAGGAGGATGGTGGTGAAACCCGCGTGGCGAGCTGCATGCACCAGACGTGGAGCACCCGGGACCGGGATCAGAGACTCGGCGACTGCCGCCAGCGTAGCAAAGAACCAGGCAGCCACCTGGGCGGGGCATAATGTGGGCCATGCGTCCCAAGGGTCCGACGGTTTTGGGACTGGGCTTTCGACGGCTGCCTTGGGGACGTCACTACTCGGTGTTTTCAAAGGTGCGGTGGAGCCAAGGTCGATGACGTCATGCTGTGGAGACTCGGACGCTGAAACGTCGCTAGGTGATTTTTCCAAAGGCACTGGCGCCTCGTGCTCAGTGACGTGGCTGTAACGCTGGTCTACAGAGCTTTGCGAATCCTTGGGACTTTCTTTGCTCCCGGTTCGGTGGATCGAATCACATCCTCCTGGGACTGGGGGTCCTAAGCAATCCTGCCACATCTCCCGGATGGGGGTTCCGCATACCAGTTCTGGGAGGCGGACCTGTGTGTAACCAGATTCCAGGTCCAGTTGCAGTTCAGTGCCGTCCAGCGAAAACAGGGGCACTAGGAGTGTGAAGCCGGCATCGTAGTGAGGGCCCCGGGCGTAGGGACCCAGGGGTGCATGCCCCAGATCCAGGGAGCCCTCGCGAATCCCACCACGAAGCAGCAAGAGTTCTGCCTGGGGAGGAAGCCGAGGGTCCCGACGGTGAACTAGACCTGAAAAAAGTGAAGGGAACATGAGGGCGTCGCCCAAAGCCGGGGCTGGGTGGTGGCGAGGCTGAGAGCTGTGAGTTCCCAAAGGCAAGTAGGGCGACTTACCAAGAAAAGAGAAGACAAAGTCCTTGGCCCGGAGGAGGTCGGCTCCCGGCTTGGGCCCGTCACTCCAGCTCTCCTGCACAACCAGCTCCTGGATCAGCTGGGTCAATTCCTGCAGCTGCGCCCCGGAGCAGAAGTCGATGTCCGTGAGCGGCCGAGCTGGGGCCGGGGGCGGCGGGCCCCACCAGGGGGCACTTCCCCAGACCGCGGAAGCCATTTGGTTCTATCGCGTTAGGCCACGGAAAACACGGAAGGCAGGTAGCCGAGACGGGCCTTTCCTTTGCTGCCAAAAAGTCGCCCCCGTGCTTTCCTCCTTTTGAGGCCGAGCGAGTGCCCCAGACGCAGTCTACAAATGGGTCTGTAGATGATGGGTTCTAAATTTAATTCTCAAAATGAACAAATAAATACTTCCTCTATCCTGGCCCTTTTCTCATATGCAGGTCCCCGCCCCCATGAACTGGTTCACCGGACTCAGCAGGTAAAAAGTAGCTGTTGGCGCCTCCTACGGAATGCAGTAGCCAGCCTCCGCCGCTGCATCTTGTCTACCTGCCTTTACCTCTTTTTTTGAAGAGGCTTATTGGTCTGCGGCTTCTCTCTTATGGGAAAAAGCAGTAAAGGTGGGGAGGAGAAATAGATTCAACAGGTTACTTCTTCCTGATGCCCACGTGGCCACGCCCCTACATGTTCGGCCACGCCCCTTTCTGGAGGCTGTCAGGGTGGTTTCGGCTGGGTCGGGTCGCCAGTCAGGGTTCAGTCACTCCTTTCGTTCTGCTGCGATCTCGCGCTATCCTGGGAGTTGTAGTTTCCCGCGCTACTTGGACGGAGGAGCCACGCCCCCACATCCTTTCCCGTTCCGCCGAAGTAGTGCCTGATGGAAGTTGTAGTTCTCTGGAGATTGACTATTTTGTCTCCTTTCATGCCCATGTCAACTCCACTCAAACATTCCTTGAGGTTTGAGACGGGTAATAGGATGGATCTGAGGAGGGACGGGCCGGGCGCGATGGCTCACGCCTGTAATCGCAACACTTTGGGAGATCCAGGCGGGTGGATCACCTGAGGTCAGGAGTTCGAGACCAGCCTGGCCAACGTGGTGAAACACGGTATCTACAAAAATACAAATATTAGCCGGGTGTAATGGCGGCGCTTATAATCCCAGCTACTCAGGAGGCTGAGGCAGGAGGATCACTTGAACCCAGGAGGCGGAGGTTGTGGTGACCCGAGATCATGCCATTGCAATTCAGTCTGGGCGACAAGAGCGAAACTCCGTCTCAAAAAAAAAAGAAAAAAGTGCTGGGCACAGTGGCTCACTCCTGTAATCCCAGCACTTCGTGAGGCCGAGGCGGGCAGATCACCAGGTCAGGAGTTCGAGATCAGTCTGGCCAATATAGTGAAACCCTGTCTCTACCAATAATAAAAAAATTAACCTCGCGTGGTGGTGTGCACCTGTAGTCCCAGCTACTTGGAAGGTTGAGGCAGAAGAATTGCTTGAACCTGGGAAGCAAAGGTTGCAGTAAGCTGAGATCACGCCACTGCATTCCAGCCTGGGTGACAGAGCGAGACTCCATTTCAAAAAAAGAGTAAAGAGGGATACGCCTTAGGACCTGGAGAGAGATAGGGGCCCCTGCCTCTCTATGTAATACAGGAACCCTGCTCACTTATATCTGTAAGAATGCTTCCATGCAATTATAACTTCCTCATTTTGGGGATGAGCAGAGTACTGCCTAGAAAGGTTGTATATGACGTGTCCAAGGTCAGAGCTGAGCCAGGGAAGTGCTGAAAAAGGATTCCCTGGCTGGGTGGTGGGGGCAGCATCTTGGAATCCCAAAGGTGGTAGTGTTGGGCAGGAGCACACAGATGGTGACTTAGAAATGGACATTGGACTCATAGAAGAGACATACATGTTAGTGGGGCAAGGCAATGGAAAATTATCAAGAGCAGGAAATTGCTTTAAGTAACCCATGTTATCAGGGAGCAGAACATGCCTGTAAACCACCATGGGACCAGGAGCCAGGACAACTGGATAGAAAGATAGGAAACCAGGCCGGGCGCAGTGGCTCAAGCCTGTAATCCCAGCACTTTGGGAGGCCGAGGCGGGCGGATCACGAGGTCGAGAGATCGAGACCATCCTGGTCAACATGGTGAAACCCCGTCTCTACTAAAGATACAAAACATTAGCTGGGCATGGTGACGCGTGCCTGTAATCCCAGCTACTCAGGAGGCTGAGGCAGGAGAATTGCCTGAACCCAGGAGGCGGAGGTTGCAGTGAGCCGAGATCGCGCCATTGCACTCCGGCCTGGGTAACAAGAGCAAAACTCCGTCTCAAAAAAAAAAAAAAAAAAAAAAAAAAAAAAAAAAAAAAAAAGATAGGAAACAGATCAGACTAATCCATCACTGGGCCAGAATTTTTTTTTTTTTTTTTTTGAGACTGAGTTCTGCTCTTGTTGCCTAGGCTGGAGTGCAATGGTGCGATCTCAGCTCACTGCAGTCTCCACCTCCGAATTCAAGAGATTCTCTTGCCTCAGCTTCCCAAGTAGCTAAGATTACAGGTGCCCACTACCACATCCAGCTAATTTTTGTATTTGTAGTAGAGCCTGGGTTCCACCATGTTGGTCAGGCTGGTCTCGAACTCCTGACCTCAGATGATCTGCCCGCCTTGGCCTCCCAAAGTGCTGGGATTACAGGCATGAGCCACCACACCTAGCGTGGGCCAGGACTTTCTTACATTCCTTCTGCCTTTGGTCTGTCTCCAGGATGGCATAGGCCTAAGTCCATGGATAAGGGACTAAGGAGGGACACCTAGGAAAATTAGAGGCCTGTAAAAGGAAGAGACTCCCCAACTCTAGAGATCAATTTGGGAAACCCAGACATCAGAGGTTCCTTGTCACTGACAGAGAGCTTTTTTCCCTCAGCAACCAGAGCTGGGATCCCTGGGAGAACTGAGAACACCAAAACAGCCCAGAACTGCGGAGGTATGTCCCCATACACACACGTCTGGCTGTGACCCAAGAGGCCAGATCAAAAGAACCGGAGACTGGGTTCTTTCTCACAGTCTGGAGTAACCAGGCATTGGGCATCCCTGCATCTCATCTCCTTCCCAGAGGGTGGCTTCCAAGGTACTCTAAAAAGAACTAAGTTCTCTGGACTCTGTGGGAGCTTTGAAGATGTTAAGAATGGGTGACAAGGGCCGGCTGGGGTCGCTCATGCCTGTAATCCCAGCACTTTGGGAAGCCGAGGCGGGCAGATCATCTGAGGTCAGGAGTTTGAGACCAGCCTGGCCAACATGGTGAAACCCCATCTCTACTAAAAAAAAAAAAAAAAAAAAAAATCAGCCGGATGTGGTGGTGCACACCTGTAATTCCAGCTCCTCAGGAGGCAGAGGCAGGAGGATCGTTTGAACCCAGGGAGCAATTGCAGTGAGCCAAGATTGCACCACTGCACTCTATCCTGGGCAACAAGAGTGAAATCCTGTCTCATTAAAAAAAAAAAAAAAAAAAAAAAAAAAAAAAAAAAAAAAAAAAAAAAAAAAAGAGAGAGAAAAGAATGGGTGACAAGGAATCGTTCCTCTAAACTTTAAAGCATTGCTCGCCAATATAATTTTCTGTGATGATGGCGATGCCCTGAGTTGATCCTGTCTGACAAGTAGCCACTAACCACATGTGGCTGTTGAGCACTTGAAATGTAGATAATGTGGCCAGGCGCCCTGGCTCACACCTGTAATCCCAGCACTTTGGGAGGCCAAGGAGGGCAGATCACTTGAGGTCAGGAGTTTGAGAACAGCCTGGCCAACGTGGTGAAATCCCGTCTCTACTAAAAATACAAAAATTAGCTGGGTGTGGTGGCGCACGCATGTAATCCCAGCTACTAGGGAGGTTGAGGCAGGAGAATCGTTTGAACCCAGGTGGTGAAGGTTGCAGTGAGCCGAGGTTGGGCCATTGCACTTCAGCCTGGGTGACACACAGCAAGACTGTCAAGAAAGAAAGAATGAGAGAGAGAGGAGAGAGAGAGAGAGAGAGAAAGAAAGAAAAAACAAAAGAAATATAGATGTGACTGAGGAACAGAATTTAAAATTTTGTTTAACTTTAATTTACTTTTTAATTTTTGAGAGAGTCTGGCTCTGTCACCCAGGCTGGAGTGCAGTGGTATGATCTTGGCTCACCACAACCTCTGCCGCCCAGGTTAAAGCAAGTCTTCTGTCTAAGTCTCCTGAGTAACTGGTATTACAGGGATGTGCCACCATGCCTGGCTAATTTTTGTATTTTTAGTAGAGATGGGGTTTTACCATGTTGGCCAGGCTGGTCTCAAACTTCTGACCTCATGACTGGCCCATCTCAGTCTCCCAAAGTGCTGGGATTACAGGTGTGAGCCACCATGCCTGGCCTAATTTACATTTTAATAACCATATTTGCCGGGTGCAGTGGCTCAAGCCTGTAATCCCAGCACTTTGGGAGGCCGAGGCGGGTGGATCACGAGGTCAAGAGATCGAGACCATCCTGGTCAACATGGTGAAACCCCATCTCTACTAAAAATACAAAAAATTAGCTGGGCATGGTGGCGCGTGCCTGTAATCCCAGCTACTCAGGAGGCTGAGGCAGGAGAATTGCCTGAACCCAGGAGGCGGAGGTTGCGGTGAGCCGAGATCGCGCCATTGCACTCCGGCCTGGGTAACAAGAGCGAAACTCCGTCTCAAAAAAAAAAAAGAACCATATTTGTTTAATGGCTAGTGTATTGGACAGAGCAGCTCTAGGGCTTCAATGATAATGGGTTTAGCTATGCAGCTACAGAGGAGAAATTGGGACCAGTCTTCATTGGCTCTGTGGGTGGCCAGCATCAGGGGTGGGCTGGGGTGGATGTCCTCAAACAAACACAGCACATTTCTCTCGCCTCTTTATTCCTGATGCACTTTTGTCCCCTCTTTGTCCAAAGTTCTCATCACATTCTGAAATCCCCACTCCTTGGTGGTTTCCCCTGAGTTGCTAGGTGCCTCTTGACGAAGGCGCCTGGGACTCAGAGCTTCACACTTGTCCTTGCCCATGGCCAACTGTCTCTTACGGGCATCAAAAACCACATGTCCTGCCCGGATGCCTGGTCCAGGGTAGTGGGCCTTCCAGTTGATCTGGGGAGGCATAGACATCTGACGATAGTTCTGGTAGCCTGAAGGAACTGTACCCACAGGGCGGTACACCCAGTGCTGGCTGCCTGCCCGCTGGGAGAATGACTGCAGCTCAATGAGTACAGGTACCTCTGAGAAGGTCTGCGGGTCGTTGTAGACCACCTTGGAAGAGCAGGAGTTCCGGTTGAGTTGGACAGGAGCCCAGACGACATGCTGCTGGGTGTCCTCCTTCTGAGCAGCCTTCTCAGGCACAAGTGACTTCATCATGGACAGTGTGGACTTTGGATTCTGAAGTGGGGGCAAAAGCTGAGCACAGCCAGAACCTAGGGCAGGGCTTGGGTTCTTGTGGAGGCCAGGATCTGGGATAAAGCATGAGTTCTTGTAGGGGCCGGGTTCCTGGGGAAAGCCTGAAATCTTGGGGTGGCCAGAGTCTTGGGCAAGGGCTAGCTCTTTATGCGGGCCAGGATCTTGATGAATTCCCGGGTACTTGTGGAGATTAGAGTCCTGGTTATGTTCTGAGCTCCTGTAAACTCCAACATCTTGCGGAGGGCTAAATCTTCTTTCACCTTTAGTGGCTTGGGTAAGGCTGGGACTCTTACGGAGGTTGGAATCTTCATCAAGGCCTTGAACTTTGCGGCCACCACTGTCTTGGATAAGGCCTGGACTCTTGTAGTTTCCTGAGTCTTGCGTAAGGCCTGAACACTTTGGGAGGTCAGAGGTTTGGACGAGGCCTGGGCTCTTGTGGAGACAAGATTCCTGGATAAGTCCTGAGCTCTTGTTGACTTCAGAGTCTTGGGCAAAGTATGGACCCTTCCGGGATCCGGAATCTTCTGTAAGGCCTGGGGTACTACCAATTCCTGGATCTTGGACATTGCAGGTATTCTTGTGACCTCCAGGATCTTTAGAAGGGCGTGGGTTCTTTTGGTGGTCAGTTGCTTGGGAGAGATCTTGACTTTTGTAGACTACAGTCTCTTGGTTTGGTTCAAGATTTTTGTAGACTCCAGAGTCTTGCATAAAGCCTGAACTCCTCTGAAGGTCAGAAGTTTGGGTAAATGGTGTTTTCTTGTGTAGGCCAGAGGGTTGGGTGAGACATGAGCTCCTAAGGATACCAACTTCCTGAGTCAGACCTGTGTTCTTTTGGGGGTGGGAATCTTGAGTAATGCCTGAATTCTCATGAAGACCAAAGTCTTGGGAAGGGCTTGGATTCTGGCAGAGATAAGAATCTTGGGAAAGGCCTGGGAATCTGTGGAGGCCTGGATTTTGAGCAAGACCTGGTTTCTTGTGGAGGCCTGGATCTTGGGTAAGGCCTGGGTTTTTGTGGAGGTCTAGGTTTTGGGTAAGGTCCAGATTCCTGGGAACTCTGGAGTCTTTTGTAGGGCATCGGGTCCTTTGAAGGCCAGAATCTTGGGTAAGGCCTAGACTCTCTTGACATTCAGGGCATTGGGGTTGGGAACTGGTGGCGAATGGGGAAGGGATGGGGGCTGGGCAAGTGGTGTTAGACTGAGGAGTCTTGGAAGTTGGGAGAACTGTAGGGGTTTGTATTAAGGTGGAGGGCTTCTGATAGTTGGTGGGTTGAGGAGGGACAAAGGATCTGGGAGGAACGAGCGGCAGGGAAAGAGTGCATGGTGAAGGAAGGGTGCACAGTGAGCTCTGGGCAGTGGTTGCAGAATGAAAGCAAGGCTTGGCACATGCAGTATCCTGGGAGTAGACAAGGAATTTGGGGTAGACTAGAGCCTGGGAGTCTGTGTTCTCGGAACTGCAAGGATGAAAGCTGCAGTAAGGGAAAGTCTTGGTCTGGGAGCACTTATCTTTGGCATCGTCTGAGGTCTTCCATTCCATATTCCCCAGCTCCAGGTAGCCCAGTATGGATCCTGCAGGAGGCTCGGCACTGTCCCCACTGCATTGCTTTGTTTGCTCAGATATACCAGAACTCACCAGGTCCTGACCCTCTTGGGGCCTGAAAAGGGTACCCAAGTCTTTTCTGGAATACCCAGGGTCCTTCGGGCTGCACATATGGCAGAAGTTCTGCTTTGCCCTGCGGGCATCATAGACCACATGGCCAGTGGAGAGGCCATGGCTGAAGGCAGGTGGGATAGAGGGTGTAGGAGCTGTGATAGGGGCAGGTGTGGGGGCAGGGACAGGAGCAGGGATGGTAGTGGTAGTCAGGGCCATGACCAGTGCTGGGGCAGAGGCTGGGACAGGGGCTGGTGTAGGAGCTAGGACAGGAGTAGTGGCTGGGGCAAGAGTTCCGGGAGGAGGTGGGTCAGAGGCTGAGACAGGAACCGAGCTTCGGCCTGGATGAGAGTGGCCTGGGCTATATGCCGGAGAATGGGCTGAGGTGTGCTCAAGGGCATGGGCCTGGAGGTGGGCTGGGACAGGCATAGGAACCTGGGCTTGGGAGTGGGCTGGGGCATGGGCTGAGGTGTCCTCAGGGCTGTGGGCCTGGGAGTGTGTATGCTCAGGGATGTGGAGCTGAGAGTGAGTTTGGGCCTGGGCTGAGGTCTGGGCTTGAGTGTGAGCTAGGGCCTGGGTTGGGGTAGGAGCTGGGATGTAAGCTTGGTTGTGGGCCAGAGCCTGAGCTGGGGCAGGGGCCGAGGTGTGGGCTTGGGCCTGGGCGGAGGTGTCCAGGGCCTGGGAGTGGGTGCCCTCAGGGGTGTGGGCCTTGGAGTGTGTCCGGGAATAGGCAGGGGTGTGCACAGAGGTGTGGGCCATGGAATGGGTCTGGGGGTGGGTGGGGGTGTGTACAGGGGTGTGGGCTGGGGAACGGATCTGGGCCTGAGCTGGGGCCTGGGCTGGGACAGAGTCTGGGGTCTTAGTCTTGCTCTCTTGGGGCAAGTGGCGTGGGCCCATGTCCAGCTTGCTCGTCTTTGGGAACTGGGAAGATGTCTCTGGCTTCGAGAGCAAGGACACTTGAGCCTTAGAGGCGGTCGCCTGAGGGGCCTCCCCAGCTCCCATCATCTCCTCCTTGCACAGTCCCCATGGAGACTCCCTGGGAGTCCTGGCACATCCACATTTAGGTGACATCCAGCAACACCTAGAAACCTTCTTATCCTTCGTGTCTGGTATCCAGGAGTCAAAGTGGTTAACATGCCTGAGCAGGAAGCCTGGGCGATGATGGACACGGGAAGAGACTTTCAAGCACAGGTTCTTGGGATCCGCGGAGGAGCAAATACATACGGGATGGCTGTCTATGCCGCTGGGTTGCTTGTCTGCAGGTAGATGTGAGATGGGACAAAGCCCAGGTTCCTTAGGAACTGAGATCCGGGACAGGGATAGGAGAAAGGGGACAGGCCCATATCCCTGGGAACCCATACCAGGGCCCACTCACCTTTGGGAAAAAAGTGATGGAAAAGAATCCGCAAGGAGCTCTTCAGATACTTCCAGAGCTGAGGGAAACAGGAGAGGAGGTGAGTCTGGAAGTAGGGTGAGCCCCTAAGTTCAACTGTGTTTTTTTTTTGAGTTGGAGTTTCACTCTTGTTGCCCGGGCTGGAGTGCAATGGTGCGATCTTGGCTCACCGCAACCTCTGCTTCCTAGGTTCAAGCGATTCTCCTGCCTCAGGCTCCCGAGTAGCTGGGATTGCAGGCATGTGCTAACATGCCTGGCTAATTTTGTATTTTTAGTGGAGATGGGGTTTCTCCATGTTGGCCAGGCTGGTTTCCAACTCCTGACCTCAGGTGATCCGGCCGCCTTGGCCTCCCAAAGTGCTGGGATTACAAGCGTGAGCCACTGCGCCCAGCCCTAAGTCCAACTCTTATCTGGCCACACCCCGACAGCCCTCCCACCTCAGCCCCTTCAAGACCCCAGGGTTCCCCCAATCCTGCTACCCAGATCCTGTCCTGACCAGAGTCACCACATTGATCCACACGTTGAGCAAGATGAAGCTGCCCAGAAGAAGAAGAATTGAGTCTCCTAAGTCCTGGCACTTTTTGGGGTTGGTGCCAGAGCACACCTGGGCTCTGTGATAGTCTGGCTCACCCATGGCCTGGGGTCCCAGGACTGCCTGGGCCCCCTGACCCTCACATAGTCACTAAGAGCAAGACTCCTGTTGTCGGGGAGGGGGTGGACTGAGTCATAATAAGGCAGGTCAGGGTCACAATGAGGAAGGTTGAGGAAGAGAAGGGCCCAGGGTGGAATTCTCTGATAACCAGGTTTGAGTCACCTGGTGTGGACAGTCAAACGGGGTCTGGAGGCCAATGCACCTCTCCTGTGTCTCCATTGTTCCCTACTGCTGGATGATTCATTCACTCACTCACTCATTCCATCGCTCCTGCAGTGCAGTGGTGTGATTTCAACTCACTGCAGCCTCCACCTCCCAGGTTCAAGCAATTCACTGCCTCAGCCTCCTGAGTAGCTGGGATTACAGGCGTGCACCACAACACTCAGCTAATTTTTGTATTTTTAGTAGAGATAGGGTTTCACCATGTTGGCCAGGCTGGTCTCGAACTCCTGGCCTCAGGTGATCCACCCGCCTTGGCCTCCCAAAGTGCTGAGATTACAGGTGAGAGCCACTGCGCCCCGGCACTCCTACAATTTCATTTCAGAATCCTGAACCCTCCACCCCTTGAACACCCCAAAGACTGGGAAGACCTCCACCTCAGGGCCCTGGGGCAGGCCTGGCTGGCATCCAGAGCCTCAGCCTGGTCCTGTACCCTGTGCTAAGTGGATCCCAAAGAGCCCCACTCAAGACAGAGTTCAGAATCCAGACCTGATCCTTTCTGGGAACAAGGAGAATAGAGAGCCCGGGTGGTGGCCAGAGATCGGTCATTTGTCGTCTGCTGCTGCAAGATTTACACAGCGCATGGTGCGGACCACGCAGGCCTGCAGCAGGCGTATAGCCACGAAGCCATGGGGCACCTCACACCAAGAAGGGGACACTGGTTTCTCATTTCAGGAAGCCAAGGGCAGAGACCCAGGCTGGCCGAAGGAGTGGCACTCCCAAGTTACAGACCACCAGAGTGCTTCCTGGACTCTTTTCTCTTTATTCCTCTCTCTCCATGCCCTGCCCCATGCCCCATATTCGCCTGCCGGTCAGTTGAGTTTCCTGGTCCTGTGCAGAGAGGGCCTCGAGGCGAAGGTGGAAGCTGGTGGCAGTGAGCTGGACCTGGCTCTGCTCTTCTGCACCTGCCGCTTCAGCTCCAGGCTGTCGTACACCTGGTAGTCAGCATGGCCCCCTGGATTCCGGCTGAGTGGGACGAACATGGTCGGGGGTGGGGCAGGATCTGCAGCCTGGACTTTGGGCTGCGGCTGGGAGGAATGGGGGAGCCGCGCCGAGCTTGGAGCTGGGTTCCGTTGGTGAGAGGCTGTGTCCAAGATCGTCAGGGAGGCGGAGGCAGTCAGAGGACCCCGCGCAGGCAGAGCCTCAGCCCAGTCGGCTGCCCGGCACCGCACCTCATGGGGGTCCCGGGAGCTGTAGCCTAAGTGTTCTGTGGATGGGTGGGGGCTGCAGCTGGACGGGCCGTGAGCGTGACAAAGCAGGGTCCGCCGGTGGGACTGTGGGGAGTGGTGCTCCCGGTAGCCCCGGGCCTGGGGCCGGGCGTTCCGGGACACCAAGGACAGCAGGGGGCTCAAAGCCCTCCATGCCACGACGCCGCTGATCCCGGGAGTCATACAGCGTCCAGCCCACTGAGGGGTAAGGGCCGTGCCCCACAGGGACCCAACAGGGGTTAGGGGGCAGCCGGCGGGGAGGTGGCGGAGACGAGGCCCACTGCTCAGCCTCCACATTGCCCCACAGTCGGGACTGGGAACCATGGGGCCCGTAGGATTGCAGCCTCAGCTCGGACTTGGCCTCTACACGCCTGGGCATGCGGTGCAGCTCAGGTGACAGGTAGAGAGAGGGCGGTGGCAGACTGGCCAGGATTCCACCCTGGTGGCCCCACAGCCCCACATTGGAGGGCAGGCCCGCTTTCTGATAAAACCCACCCCAGCCCCAGCGTGGGCACTTGGGATGTGGGAAGGACAGGCCGTCCTCCACCTCCAGAGAGGAATCTGGGTCCTCCCGATCAAAGAAGGGCACCCCGTGCAGTTGTGACATCTTTCGGCCTCGATGTGGGTTACCGGAAGGCCGAGCGCCTGTGGGGGATTTGTCTGTAGTTCTGCGGCTGCTGCTGGTGGTTGCAGCAGCAACGGTGACAGCGGCGGCATCGGCGGCGGCGGCGGCGGCGACGACCACGAAGACGACTGCTACTGTGAGGGCCGGAGAAGTGGCAGCAGGAGGAAGAGGAAGGCCACGTGGATGGGGCCATCTTCACCTGTACAGGGTCCAGGATGCAGTGGATGTGGATGTCCTGAGCCTTGTTTGGGGGACCACTGAGGGGGCTTTCACTGGCCTGAACTTCATCTGGGGAAGGCAAGAGTCCACGAGATCAGGGCCATTGTCGGAAGAGCTCCAGGTTGGGAACACTGGGGCCTGGGTTTCTAGGGCCGTCGTCAGGGGTGGGGCTGGGGGTCCCCTCCCTCTCCGGCAGCCGCACTTACTTTTCTGAGGAGTCCAGTCAATCAACTTGTCCAAGGCATTCTGGAGTCCATGCCACATCTGGGACAGGGTGGAAGACAGTGAAGGCCAGGATCTCCACCCCCAGCACCACCGCCCCTGCTCCCGCCCCAGTCTAGACCACACGTGCAGGCGGAGGTGCAGGCTGCAGCTGGCTCCCACCCTCGGCCCTCTTCATCCCCAGAGGTGGTCCACAATCATCACTGACCATAGTGGCCACATTGATGCCAATGTTGACAAGAACGACAAGGCCCAGCAGCAGGAGTAAGATGTCCTCAGCAGCCTGGGGGTTTTCTTGGTATTGATTGCGACATCCCAGGGTGTTATCCCATAGCTGGTTTTCCATGGAGGGGGGGTCCTTGGGCCACCTGGGCCACGCCCCCCCACCCCTACCCCCGGCCCCAACCCACACTGCACTCATGCCAATCTCCAGAGATAGCTAAAAGCTGGTAAGGGAGCCAGGTCACAATGAGGCAAGCTAGCGAGTGTCACAATGTGGAGGTGGCAGCTTTTATCCCTTTGCCAGCCCCTTCTACCGCCTTCTCTACCATGGGCTCCTACTTGGTGGAGCCGGTCCCCAGACAACCCAGATCTCAGTCTGTTCCTCGGTCTCCTTGAGGCTTGCTTAACCCCACACCTGCTTCCAGAGCTGAAAATAGGGTAGTTACAGAATGACACAGTCTTCACAGGGGTTGAAGCATACATAAGGTATTTCCTGTTTCATTGTTCTTTTCAGACATTATGGCACCTTACGTAGCCTGTTGGTGTGCCCTGCCCCATGGCTACTTTGGGGCCAGTGGCTAGAGTGACTAGATGGGCAGGTGGATAGTAAGAGTCCCCTCAGGTGTCACCCTACTGTAGCAGTCCCTCCCTACTCTGCCCATTTGCCTGTCATAACTCCTCTAGCTCTCATCTCTGTCCAACTCTTCCTGGCCAGAGACTGCAGCCCTAGGTGTTGCTGGTCCCTGGGCTCAGCGGCCCCTTCGCCACACTGACGTCTTCCTCACTGAGGTTGCTGCCTCTGCCAGGAACTGACCCCAGCCATGGTTTCTCCATCCTAACCCCCTGCACTCCCACCGACCCACCCTCACTAACCTGCCGGGTGCGGTGGCTCACGCCTATAATCCCAAGCAGGTAGATCACCTGAGATCAGGAGTTTGAGACCACCCTGGCCAATACGGCGAAGGCTCTACTAAAAATACAAAAATTAGCTGGGTGTGGTGCCAGGTGCCTGCATTCCCAGCTACTTGGGAGGCTGAGGCAGAAGAATCACTTGAACCTGGGAGCCAGAGGTTGCAGTGAGCCGAGATCATGCCACTCACTGCACTCCAGCCTGGACCAGAGAGAGACCGTCTCCAAAAAAAAAAAAAAAAAAAAAGAAAAAGAAAGAAAGAAAAACCACATGAAATTAACAAAGCACAAAATAGATGTAATTGTTAATATGACAAAAAGTGTTTGACTTCAAACAGGTGCATCACTGGGATATATGAGAGTGGCACCCTGGAGACTGCAAGCCATTTGTTTACACAGTGAACTACTCAGTAGAAATAAAGGCCAGTAAGCATTTCCCATCCAGCCTCCAAACACATAGTAGATGCTCAGTATATATCCTCTGAGTGGACTCAGTTGAAAGTGATCAGTAACATTAGCTGAATGAGAGAAGCAGGGCCATTCGCAAACGGTCTGTCTGCTCACATTCCAGGAATGTGTCTACAGTGGAAGGTGAAGTCCAGCTTCCTCAGCCAGGGCTCGTGCACGTGGCCGCTTGTTCCCAAGTGGTATGTGTGTGTGCATGTATGGGGATCCCAATTGTCTAGGAGAAGGGCAGGGCCTGAACTTCTGTGTTTCTGAGTTTCTGAGTCCACATGGCAAACTGAGGAAGGTGGTAGATTCTGGTGGGCCAGGCTGGTTCTGCAGCAATGGGATGGGGCGTCTGAGGCCATGAACTTGATCCTCAGTGTCTGTGTAGCCATGAGCAAGTCACTTAGCTTCTTTGAGCTTAGTCTCCTCCCAGGTGACGTGGTGGGTTAATCAGAGGAGTGAGGTCACAGAGAGCCGTGATGTTACAGTGAGGTACCCCTTGAGCAGGTCCCCAGTATTTCATCCTCTGCCTCAATCCTGCTCAAGGGCATAATAGGTTCAGGGTGACTGGGGAACTGTGAGGGGCTGGACACCCTCTCAGCCATCCCTCCCTAAATAAACCAGGGCTTACATGGGAACCATGCCTCACCTGTGGCTGCAGCCTAACCTTGGACTCTGGCAGGCACTAGCCTTTTGAGGAGCTAGGGCCATGGAGATGGAGGCCTCTCTTCTAGTGCAGGACAGCCTGGGGACCTGGCGTAGAATTTAGGGGCTTCTCTGTGCACTAAAGAAAACAGGGTGTTAAGTGGGCATGGTGGGGCCTGTAGTCCCAGCTACTTAGGAGGCTGAGGCGGGAAGATTGCTTAAGCTTGGGAGGTTGAGGCTCCAGTGAGACATGATTGCACCACTGCACTCCAGCCTGGCGGGCAGAGCAAGACCCTGTCTCAGGGGTGGGGGAAGAAACAGGCTGGGCGAGGCAGCTCACACTTGTAATCCCAGCACTTTCAGAGGTTTAGGCAGGCGGATCACTTGAAGAATTTGAGACCAGCCTGAACAAAGTGGTGAAACCTGGTCTCTATAAAAACCAGTGGCGTGGCCAGGTGTGGTGGCTCACGCCTGTTATCCCAGCACTTTGGGAGGCCAAGGTGAGCGGATCACCCGAGGTCAGGAGTTTAAGACCAGCCTGGTCAACATGGCAAAACCCGGTCTACTAAAATACAAAAAAAAAAAAAAGAAAGAAAGAAGGAAAAACAAGGTAGAGGCAGATGAGAGCCTTGGAACCAAGAAGGGCCTGGGAAAGGCTGAGGACAGGGACAGGCCTATGGCGTGAAAGGCTGATGAGGGTCCTCAGGGCTCAGGGCCCTGTGGCCAGGAACAGCATTCTCTGCACAGCCACACTCCAACACCACCACAGATCACCTCCTCTCTCCTTTTTATTTTCTTCCAGTCACCTCTCAGTCAGGGAACGGTACACCCAATTCTTGCTTGTCGCCTCAGCAGTGCTGGATCCAGAGGGCATTGGGTAGCAGTGGGACAGGGCCTCCACCTCCCGGGTCAGTTCCCGAAGCCGCCGCCTCACGTCCCGGGCATCATACACTATTCGGCCTGAGGAGCGGCGCCGGAAAAATTCAGGGACGACTGCTGGGCCCAGGGTGGGAGGGTGGACAGGCTGGCACTGAGCCGCCTCTGCCTCCAGCACCGCCCCCTCCCCACTGTTCTTGTTGCTAGGAGCCTCAGGGCTGGGAGGTGGGGGGTTCACAGGATACACATAGGCCCTTAGACCCAGCTCGGACCTCATGTCTGTTTTGAGGGGCCTTTCCTCTATGGTAGGCTGGAAGTGGGTGGTCTGGGGAGGGGGCTCCGGGGCATCCTGACTCCAGGGAAGCCAGGTCCCCTGAGTGGGTTGGAAGCCTTCCCAGTCCTCGGGGCCATCCCAGTGGTGGCAGCAGATGGCTGGGTACTGATGGGGCTTCTCATCGTCAGTGTCAGGAGCCCAAGTTACTGGGCGGTGAGTGCAGCGTGCAGGAGAGCCTCGACGGCGACGGCGGCGAGCGGGGGGTGGGGTCACAGTCATCATCACAGGGTCCGTGGTGCACCGAAGATGGACCGCAGGGGAACTCTGCTTCTCCGAGGGCTGGGTCTGCTTTTCCGGTGAGGATGACTTAGGAGCTTCTGTGGATGGAGAGAGGTGAGACTACTGGGGAGGCCAGCTCCGACAGGGACAGAGAGGCAGGGCCCAGGGAGAGCAGCTGCACAGCTCTGCTGTCTGAGAGGGAAGAGCAAGAAGGGAAGGGGCTAATTCAGGGCTGAGGCTAGAGCACCTGGTTTCTGCCCCTCCTATGCCCAGCCCCGAGCCCTGCTCACCTTTCTCACAAACGATATCGTGGAATGCTTGGTGTAAGACCCCACGGAGTCGGCTCCAGAGCTAGATGGGGGAGACATGGTGATCCTACGCAGGCCCTGGCCACCAGGCCCGGCCCCCACATCCCACCGGTTCCTTCCTGCCCGGCCCCACCCTGACCAGGGTCACCATATTGATGCCAATGTTAATGCAGATGATGAGGCCCAGCAGCAACAGGACGGAGTTGCCCAGGTCCTGGCAGCTGTTGCTGTTGCAGTCATGATATGAGGCCCGCTCGGGCCTCGGCCACTCTGCCATAGCCATGGGGTCCCTAGGGCCACCAGGGCCCTTAGGCCCCCAGCCCACTGTGCCCACAGTGTCCACTGGCTGCCTGCCTATCCCTGAGGGTCCTGGGAGTGAGCAGGTCACAATGGGGCCAGGCCACTCCCTTACAGTGTGCCACGGGGCCACCCTGAGTCCTGGGCCCATGGCGGCCCCTCCCGCCTGAGCCCAGGCCTTGGCAGGGGCCACACCTCTCGCCTCACAGGCCTGTGCTGAGCCAGCTGCCTGAACCAACCCACTGGGCCTCTGGCCTGTTTGGCATCTGCCCCCATCAGCCCTTGTCCCTCCTTCTATTGTGGAACGACCCCAGGCTCCAGTCTCAGCACAGACAGTTCATTTGCCAAACAGACCCGTTACCATGGCAACTAGACCCCCTGACCCACTCCCCCTCCCTCTCAGGCCTCAGAGCTGGTCCCTGAAAAGCAGGGCTGGGGGTCAGGACCCCTCCTCCCCTGTCACTTGCCCGGGGCTCGTTTCTTCAGAGACCGCCCTCCCCACAACAGAGGAGCCATAACCAACAGTTAAACTTTTGTATTTACAATATTCTCTTCATCTTTTGCCAGGTTTAAAAATGTGTACAGAGCCGCAAAGGGTTGGGGTAGGGACGTGGGATTATCAGGATTGTTCTGGGGAGAGGAGCTGGGCATTGGAGTCCGTGGCTGAATCATGGGGTCCCCCAGCCCCCCTCCCATGCCCCAATTCTGGGGGCAGCTGTCTACAGGGTTCAGGGCCCAGGTCTCTAGCAGTTGGAGGGCATGGCTGTTTGGACAGGAGCTAGACCAGGCAGGGGAAAGGATCAGAAAAGAACTAATTTTCCGTGGATGGAGGTAGGAGGAGAAGGGACGAGTCATAAGGCGAAGGTCTGGGGACTCAAGACCAGGGATTCTGGATTTGGGGGTCAGTGGAAGACAGCACCCCACCCCCACTCAAGTTTGGCACCAACACCCTAGAAAACGCCAGCAGATGAGGATTCTCCCCTCGTCCACTGGCATCCCCTGGTCCCTTCCTGACGTCATTCTTTCCCCAGAGGCTCAAACCCAAGGCCCTCCAAGGCGTCATCTCACACATGTCAGATTCTTCCCGCTCGGGTCTGCCCGAGCTCCGTCCCCACTGCCCCCTCCACCCGTTCCTCAGCACCGCTGACCTCATTCTCCCCAATTTGCCCGATGAGATCTTTCTCCCCACCGCCTCCCCTCGGCCCCTCAAGGCTCCTTTCTTTCAGCCAAGGAGGGGGCGGGGGTCAGAGAAGGAGGGGGGTCAGCTGAGGAGAAGGCGGGTCTGATGCTGAGAGGGGGACAGCTTCAAAGAGGGAGACGGAGATGAAGAGGAACGGGGGACTGAGGCAGGGTGGGGGAGACGCGGCGAGGAGAAGGGGCACAGAGGAGACCCCCCTAACCCGCCACATCCCTCACCCTGTATTCTGCTTGCCTCTAGTTCCTCCTGCCCTGCCGGGAACTGGGAAATGCTTGGCACATTTTGGGGGTCTTTCTGCTCAAATCCACCTACCCGGTTTGGCACAGCTGAGCAGCGCGCTCCGAGGCCTGAGGAAAAGGCTGTCCTTGCCCCCCTGAGGGCTGAGGGCTTTGCTCAGACGTGCATGGCCTCTGTGGGCCGCACATGCCACGCCCCCTCCCCTACCTCTTCATCTCCGAGGGAGGGAGCGGGGCCTCCCTCTGGGTTTTGCACCCTCCTCAGCTCCTGTCCACTAGAGGTCTGTGCTCACTTGCCATGAGAGGAGGGATTGAGGGCTGGGCCTGGGGCCTGGGGGAGGCAGGGAAGGGCTGGGGAGAGAGGAGCCACCTGCATGGGAAACACACATCCACGTGCAAACACGTTTCCACTCAGAAATGCTTCCTGGGCCACGGGAAGAGAAGCTTCCAGGCAGCACCAGGATGCGTGGACTCCTCCCTCCCCCCGGGCAGGAAATCTGTGCCCGTCCTCTGAGGAAGGGGAGGGCCACCCTGGAGAACGTGCTTCCATCTGACTTGTGCCAAAAGGAGGGGCGGGGGGCGGGGGAACATGCTTCACCAGGGTGGGGCACAGGGGAGGCAGGGTCGAGGGGGGCTGTGATTTCCTCGCTGCTTCCCGGGCTCCACCCTCTGTGGTCTGGTGGCCAAGGGTCACTGCATGTGAACATACCACTTCCAGGGTCTCCAGGGGAAGGGAGGGGAGCAGGTGGGAGAAGGCCTGAAGGAACAGGATTCTGGGGTACAAATCCCCACAGAAATTCTTTGAGGGGGCCAACATGTGTCCAGGGCGGCAAAAAAAAAAACCTCACCCTGCACATGGGAAAACACACCCCCTTGAGAAAGCACACCTGCACTTGGGAAAATACTTCCACATTGCCACACACCGAAGATGGGTGTCCCAATGGAGGGGAGAAAACGCCCCCCAGTTGTTCAAAGGCCCAGGTCCAGAGAGGAGACTGGGCTTCTCCGCGTGGGAAAGCACACGTCGCAGCGAGGGGTCCCAGGTCCACCTTTGTGCTGCTGGATGGCACGTGACGACTCCCCAGGAGAAAAGCCGGTCGCCGAGTCCTCCTCCCTGCCTTCGGAGGGGCCGGGCCGGGGGGGGCCGGGGAGGAGGGCCTCCCCACGCCGCTCCCTATACCCGAGTGGTGGAGTGGGGGTGGGGTAGCGTGTTGTTGTGGCTGGTAGCGGTGGGGGGAGGCGGGGGGAAGGGCCCAAAGGGATGAAGGGACGGAGGCGGTGGGGGTGGCGGTGGCCCCAGGCCACTGGGCAGCAGGGTCAGGGCCCCTGGGGCCAAGAGAGGCACATCGTCCGGTGCCCGGCGCAGGGCCAGGGTGTAGTCGGGTGGGCAGGCAGGGCGCAGAGCCTCAGCAGGGTCCGCCCCGACGCCACCACCCCGCTTCAGCTGCAGGGACACCAGCTCCTCCTCTGGTGGCAGCTCGCGGCCGGCGGTGGGGAGCAAGGGGCCCCCACCGGGCACGCCAGAGCCAGAGCCGCCAGGTGGGCTAAGCCTCCGGCAGCGCAGCTCCTGTCGCCGGTCCCGCTTGTAGTAGAGGGCAGCAAAGGCCAGGATGTTGAGGAAGAGGAGGGAGGCACCCACGGCCACGGTGACGCTCAGCTCCGTGGAGTAGTCCCTCGAGTCCCCGGGGAAGCGGTCGTAGGCCCTCGGGCCTGGCTCAGGCTCGGGCTCGGGCGGAAGGGTGGCGGGCGGCGGGGGGCGGCGTGTACCCGGGGCACCGGCGGGTGGGCGAGGCGGCCAGCGCGTGGCGTAGGGAGGCAGGCGCGTGGTGGTGGTGAAGAGCTCCGTGTGTAGGTTGTGCAGGTGGGGCACGAGCTCCAGCCAGAAGGCCACCTTGTTGGCGCGGTAGTTGTCACGCACTCGTGGCTTCAAGCCTATGTGCAGATACTGCTTCTCCTTGCTGTTGAATTTGCTCCACACCACCTCCTCAAAGCGATTGGGTTTCGTGTGGATGAACTTGGTATCCTGTGGCACTGGTTGGTTGGGGTCCCTGTGGGCACAGGAGGGCAGGGAAAGGAGGAGTGAGGGCAAGGCTCTGAAGAAGGGTGGGTGGTAGTGGGCAGGGAGGCAGATAGACGGGGGGGGGCGGGGAGTGGGGAGCAGGAAAGCCAGAGAAAAAGTCACCAAGGCAGAGAGACACAGATGGATATGAAGAGACAGAAAAACGGCAAGAGACAAAGTCAGAGAGACAAATAGGGATGGAGACGGACTGCCAAAGACAGCCAGAAATGCGGGCAGAGGGGCAGGGGCAGACGGAGATAGCCAGGGAGAAGCAGAAGCTGAGACTAAACGAGACGGAGACAGAGTCAAAGACACGAGAGGGACAGCCAGAGACAGAGAGATAGCCAGGCTGAAATCAGCCGGCAGCCAGAAACAGCAAAGAGGAAACACCAAAAAGAGCAGAGGGAAGGGGACAGCTGTCCGTGGATTTCCAGAGACGGAAATAAAGAAACAGACAGAGACAAACTTTGCACACACTCAGACGCACACCTGAGCAGCCAGCCAGAGATGCTGAGCCCTAGGGGGGTTGGGCGGTGGGGGAGGGTCAGGCAAAGAGGGAGGGAGGGATGGACACCAAGCTGCTGAGTGGGCCCCCCACTCCCCAGAAAGGATAGGGGTCCCTCTGCCTGATGCTGCTGAATCTCCCACACTCAACTCAATGCCTGACACAGAGGTGTCTAGGTTAGTTTCACTCGAGCAAGAGGGCAGCCCAGAGTGCCTTAACAAAGGGATGGCAGCCATATGAAGGAGGCAGGGCCCCGCCCACCCCACCTGGCCCTGCCCAGCCCCTCTGACCCTCACCCAGTCTTGGCGAAGTTGGTCCAGTAGGTCATGACCACAGCACTGAGCATGACGTCATTCTTGGAAAAGTTACAGGGGAAGAGATCGGTGGCACCCACCATGGGCACACCAAAGACATAGGGCAGTTCGTCCCCATGTGCTGCATCTGCCCACTCAGGCCGACCCTCCGCCTGGCAGTGGTGGTAGAAGGTGTAAAAGTAGACAGGAGACTGGTAGTCAGCGTGCAGCTTGGCGGTGGCCACAGCTGGTGCCACCCATTGGTGGTCGGTGAAGAGCGCCAGCAGGGTCTTGCGGCGCATCTCGCCATTGTCCCGGTCAGCCCAGTCTGTGTACATGAACTTGATGGTCTCCCGAAGCACATCCTTGCCCTCCGGGTAGCCATACAGGTTGTCCACAAAGTTGGACACAGTGAAGTCGAAGGCGCTGGCAGACACACCGTCCTCGCTCTCTGCAGAGTCCTCCACGAACTTGAGACCCTCTCCCTGGTTGACGCCGATGAGCATGTCGTAGTTGAGGAATTCTCCCTGCTGCATGAGGATCTCAGGGTCATCGGGGACCACGTCGCCGTCCACCACGGGCCCAAAGGCGATGTGGTAGCTGGGGAGAAGGGGTCAGGGTCTCACCACCTGCTCAATGGCCTCCTTGCAGCCTGTGGCCTGCTAAGCCCACACAAAGATGCTTCCCTCCACCTGCAAGACCCTTTTTCCCAACTTGAAATCCTCCAGTGTGTCCTTTGAGGGGTCTGGCCTCTCCCGAAGTCTTCCCAAAGCACTTCACGGCACCCTGTGCTCACCTGCTCTTCTGGGCACCTCCACTAAAGGAAGGCTTGCAAGAGAAGGCCACTTAATGGGGGCCTGAAGCCCATTTCTCCTTTTTTTTCTTTTTGTTTGTTTGTTTTTTCATTTGTTTGCGACGGGGTCTCACTCTGTCGCCAGGCTGGAGTGCAGTGGTGTGATCTCAGCTCACTGCAACCTCCACCTCCCAGGTTCAAGCAATTCTCCTGCCTCAGCCTACCAAGCAGCTGGGACGACAGGGGCACACCACCACACCCAGCTAATTTATTGTATTGTATTTTATTTTTTACTACTTAAGGTGTTCTAATCACCCAGCTAATTTTTTGTATTGAGATGGAGTCTCACTCTGTCGCCCAGGATGGAGTGCAAAGGTGAGATCTCGGCTCACTGCAACCTCCTCCTCCTGGGTTCAAGCAATTCTCCTGTCTCAGCCTCCTGAGTAGCTGGGGTTACAGGCGCACACTGCCACGGCCGGCTAGTTTTTTGTATTTTTAGTAGAGACGGGGTTTCACCCTGTTCCCCAGGCTCGTCTTGAACTCCTGACCTCAGGTGATCCACCCGCCTTGGCCTCCCAAAGTGGTGAGATTACAGGTGTGAGCCACCGCGCCCGGCCTAGTAGAGACGGGGTTTCATCATGTTGGCCAAGATGGCCTCAACCTCTTCACCTCGCGATCCACCCGCCTCAGCCTCCCAAAGTGCTGGGATTACAGGCGTGAGCCATGGTGCCCGGCCCATTTCTCCTTGCCAAATGGGATGCCCACGGGCACCGGTCACCTCAGCCTCCTTGGAACCAGCAAGTAGAGTGAAGGCCTGGACCCAGCCCTCTCCCACCCCATACCGGGCGGGCTGCACGTCCTGGTCCACCAGTTCCCGGGAGGGCTTCCGACGCAGACACTCCACAGCTTCGGCGCTGTCCTCTCGGTCACAGCCCACTTTGGCTGCCAGCAGCCGCGTGTATTTGAGCGGCTGGTAGTTGACGGACCAGCTGGAAATGGCAGTGCCACTCTGGGCGATGGCCTTCTGGAACAGCCCTGGTGGGACAGGCAGACCTCAGGCCAGGCTGTGAGTACCAGCCTGAAGAAAGGGGAGCTGGCAGGGTCGGGAAGGGTGGGGCAGGCTGGGACACTGCTGGTACCTTCTGAATGGTGGGAGAGGATCAAAAGGTTGACGCAGGAGGCCCCTGCCCCGGACCCAAAGATGGTGATGCGCTCGGGGTCGCCCCCAAAATGGGCGATGTTTTCACTGAGCCAGCGCAGGGCCTGGATCTGGTCCAGGAGCCCATAGTTGCCTTTTGCTGCCTGGTCCCCGGTGCTGAGAAAACCTGGGTGTGGAAGAAGAAGAGGGCTCCCTGGATATGTCACAGCGCTCCGGCCCCCTTCCTGGGCAGCTCAGTCCAGCCCAGAAGCTATTCTACTGGATGTGGAGAAACCCTGCCCAAGAGGCCCACCTCCCAGACTCTCCCCATCCCCAGAGTTGGCTGCCCACCCTCACCGAGCACCCCAAGACGGTAGTTGAGCGTGGCTACAATGACGTTGCCATAGGCAGCCAGGACTGAGCCATCGAACATGTTTCCGGTGCCCTCCATGTAGGACCCGCCGTGGAGAAACAGCATCACGGGCTTCTTCCCAGGGTCACGGATATCTGTGTGGGGAGGGGGTGGGCAGGTGGGCCAGGGGGTCAGGGACAAGGACACAGTCAGACTGGAAGCAGCACTGCCCAGCTCCCAAGCCTGCTGAGGACTGGCCCGGAGCTCAGGAGACACGTCACTCCCATCCCTGGGGGGCAAGACCGGATTCCCCTCCTCCCTCCCCAGCTAGCCCTGGCAGACGGTTCCTCCCGACCCTATGCCAGCCTGCCCCACGGCACTCCTCTAATGCAGACCTTCCAAGAAACCCCACAGAGGCTGGGGGTGGGAAGTGGCCCTCCTTAGGACATCTGCTGGATCCAAGGAACCCCGAGCACCGCCCCCCAACACATCTCCTTCCTGTCCCTGAGAAGAGCAAACTCCCGAGGCTAGAATTTGGCGCTGGAGCTGCTGGGAGGGTCCTGGCGTCTCCTCCAACTTAGCCCTTGGGCCTCTGCTCCACATGGTACCCTGGTCTGTGGGTGAGGGGTGCCAGGCCTAGGGTCCCTGGTCTGTGGGTGACGGGGTACCAGGCCTAGGGTCCCTGGTCTGTGGATGAGGGGTGCCAGGCCTAGGGTCCCTGGTCTGTGGGTGATGGGGTGCCAGGTCTAGAGTCCCTGGTCTGTGGGTGATGGGGTGCCAGGCCTAGGGTCCCTGGGGCTTGGTCTCCTCCCCGCCCTAATTCCTTTCTAGGTCACCTCCCTAGTCACCATGGCAACCCCCAGCCTAATTACTGTGGCAGGAGGAGGAAGAGCCTGCTTAATGAAGCCAGGGTGCAGCTCTCTAGTCTTGGACATCCCCAAACTGGCCTGAGCCCTGGGTTCTGCACTGGGACTCTTTCCCGCCATGCCCCCAGAGGAGCCCCTGATCAATGCCACGTGTTGAGGCTCTTGAATCACTCCAGATTGGACTGAAGGGTGACTAATTCCAGAGGAGGTGGGAGTCTGAGAGTGCTTGCCAGGGTCCCCGAGGCGACAGTACCCTCCCCTGTAGCTCCCCACGATTCAGCCACAGTGCTAGGGCTGGGGTCACCCCTGGCCACAGGCCCTCCTCTTTCTTGACACCAGCTCTCCCTGCTACCAGGACACTCAGCAAACCAAAGCCAGGCCTGGGCCTCCACAGCTGGTCCCCAGTGCCTCTGCCCACCTCCCTTATCCTGCTAGAAATGTCCCTCCTGCCAGAAGGTCAGCCTGCAGGTCACTAAGATATTCCCCTGGGCCTCACAGATGGCTTCCTGCTTCCCATCTCTTAAGACCCCCTCTGCAGCCCCCATGCTTCTGACTGCTTCCAGCAGAGCGCCCAGTAGGCAGCACCCTTTCTACGCCCTCCCCAAATCCTGTCCTGTCCTCTCCTCGCCTTTGTTCCTGAACCTCAAGTGACCTGCCAGCACTTTTAGGCTGGAATCTCCTTCCCCGCCAAGGCCGTGTCCTAAGTGCCCTCAGTTTTCCCATCCTCCCCCCACCCCTCTCCCAGTGCGGGGGGAGGAGGGGTCAGAAAGGGAAGGAGCAGGAAGAGGGGCTGGGGCAACAAGAATTCAAAACCCACAACAAAAACAGGATCAAGAAAGAAGAAAGAAAGAAAAAAACAACAACCAAAAAGCAAGAAGCTCTCGGGGCAGATTCAACAAGAAAAGAAAAAACAAAAAGATCCATTTTGGAAAAAAAGAAAAAAAGAAAAAAAATTCTTTGCATTTTTTTTTTTTTTTTTTTTCAAAATTTTGTGGTGAAACTTCAAGATATTGGGCCCTGTTTTCAAAAATTTTCAGATTCTTTCATTCACTTCCAATGTTTGCGTTTTCTGTGTCTGACAGGGTTTTGGAAATTGCGACAGGCTTCTGATGTTCAGTGGTGTCATCAATTTGCCAACTTTAGATTTTTTTTTTTGAGCTGTTGTTTTGCTTCAATTTCAAATAGTTTTTCTTTCAAATGTTACATTTCACAAGTTTCAAAACCGTCCAGATTTCTTTCAAATTCAATACATTTTATCCAATTCTTTTGATTTTTTTTTCTGACATTCCAATTGCCTTTCATTTTTCAGCTGATTTTCACCATGGTTCACTTTATCTGGCAGGTTTTCTAGTGGGTCCAACATTGTTCAAATTTTGTTTGAAGTTTTCATAATTCTTTTTTCCAATTATTAAAAATTTTTCTTTTCTTTTCTTTTTCATTTTAGTTGGGGAGAACGACTGAGGGGCCTTGGGGGCTGTGGGGACATTTAGTGAGGGTCAGGGCCATGAACGTTCTCTGATAAGCAACCACATGCAGCAGCGGGATTTTTAAATCTACCTGTGTCTGGCGGATTGAGCGTCGCCTCGTCACGTTTTTTTGTGAGCGGACCTAAGACCGGGAACACAAAACAGAGAAAAAAGGACAATTTTGTGGGGAAAGATGGGGGTCGGGGGGAGGTGGCGGATGGGGAGGGGAGGAGAGAAAGCAGAAAAGGGGAGGGTGGGGGAGGCAGAAAAAATAAGCCAAAAAAGCAAAATTTTGTTTGCAAGAAAAAGAAACCAAGAAAAGAGAAAAACGTTTCTACAACCCAATTTTGTTCCCCTCCCCGGAAAAAGTCATGCCCCAAAGAAAAGGCTGGTTTTGGGGGGGTGGGGTGCCTGAGTGGGCTGAGGCCTGTCTTAAGACATATCGACTTGGCTGGAAAGGTTTTGGCTTGTCGATGTGTTTGCTAATTGCTGGAAATGAAACAGTGTTAGAGGTGGGGTGGGAGGGGAGGGGAAGCCCACCCAGAGCCCCTGGGAGACCAAGGCCAGCCTGCCACCCAGGCCACCTCTCAGAAGGCCCCCTTCAGGGCCAGCGAAGCACCTGCCTGCCGCCCCCACAAGGCTGTAGGGAGGAGAGAGTGCAGCAGAAAGGACTCTGCTTCCCTCTGGACCACTCTGCAGGGTAGCAGGCGGGATGGGTTGGGAGCAGCCTGCCCTGCAGCTCAGTCCCAGAAGCCTTCTGCTCTCCACTGGGGGGCTATGGGAAGGTCAGCCGGGGCTGCCCGCCCGCTACCCAGCCTCACCACCAGCACTTCTCATCTATCCGCTCTCACAGGCCTGGCTTCTCACCCCAGCTCCCCAGTGTGGGCAAAGCAGGGAAGGGGGTCATCAGGTCTTGCCCTCCACTCCAGCTCAACCCTCCGCGCTCCCCCCAACCTCGTCCCTTACCCAGGCTTCCTCTCCTCCCCCCAAAATGGTGAATTTCCCACCTGAGTCACCACCCCCCCCTCCCCTGCCCCTGCTCCACTGCCAAGAAGCCCCCTTTCCCCAACAGCTGAGGGGGTAGTTCAGTCCACAAACAGGGAAGGAGAAACACAGTGCCCTGAGCCAGGCTGACACAGGTGCCAGCAGGTACCAGGAGCACGAGGTTCGCCCAGTGTGAAGAAAAGGCCCAGACACTGGCTCCAGGCTTATTCCAGATTACAGGATTGGTCAGGGGAGAGCTGCAGCCCCAGGGCCTGGGGGTTCCCCAGGCTGATTGGTTTTTTCCTCAATGGCAAGGGGACTAGCACCAGGAAGGATAGGTCAAGGCCAAGGCAAGCTCTGGAAGGTGTCTCCTAAGTGGCAGTGATGGCCGCATGGAGACCCACTGGGAACAGCACCTCTTCTTTGTGAGAGGATGGGGTGGGGACAAAGTCAGTAGGGCACGCGTGTGCAAGAGACTATGAGGTGTGTGTGTGTGTGTGTGTGTGCGTGCGCGCACGCGCGCGCTGAGTCAACCTCTTCCTCCCAGAGCTGGTGTGAAGATTCAGTGAGATCACCTGAATGTGTCAGGCCCCAAGCAGGTCTGCAATAAGCAGTGGTTAAAAATATAGAAGGTATGGGCAAGGGTGGTGTGGGGGTAGGGCTGGACAATTTCGTGGTGGTGTTGCGGTGGACAGTCCATTGGTGGCGAGTGCTGGGTGAATGTTTCACGTGAGGGGTGACAAGACAGCACCCATAAGGGGACCGTGGGATGTGCACAGCCTGTGAGTGAGGAGGGCTGCGATGGGCCATCTGCCTAGAGGTACTGAGGTGAAGGGCTCACGTGCTGGGACGGCAGAGGAGTGTGGAGGGCAAGGCTCTCCTGTGCGGGGTGTTGTACTCGGGGGAACATGTGGCATGTTCTGGGATAAATGGCTTATGGGGAACCAGGGGGCTTCAAAATCAGATGGGATTAGAGTAGATGATGCTGTGTGAGCTGTGTGTAAGGGTTTGGGAGGTGTGGTTTACATGAAGAGGGGTATGGCTTGGATGGCGTTTATAGGGTGAATGGTCCATTTGGGAGGTTTTGGGATGGACATGGGTGGGTTGGAGTACATAAGTGTTGGGGTGCCTGAGGTGTTCTGGGATTGTCAGGGGGGATTTGGGGTACAGGGGGGCATGGTGTTGGAGTACTTGTTAGGTGAGTAGGGTGCAAGGTTGCCGGATGTGTTCTCACCACCTGAGGTGCGGTGCAGATGATCTCCCGGTAGGAGAGGGGGGAATAATGACTGGGGAGTGTTGGGGGTGTCGGGACTGTGTGAGGAGACTGCTGAGCACACAGGCGCAGGGTTACTGGGGTATAAGGTATATATTTGGATGTTCTTAGGGCACATGGTCTATATCCAGGGATGCTGGGGAGCACAGGTGTGTGTAGGTGACGGGGTATGCAATTTCAGATCCATGGTGGGGGCGTGTGTGATGTGAAGGTATTGGGTATTGTGATTGTGGGGTGCTGGAGCCCATGATCAGTGTATAGGTCAGTTGGGTGATGATTTAAGTGTCGAGTAGTTGGGATTTGCAGTCTGCTGCGGGACTTGGACGCATGCTGTGGAGGTGCTGGGTGTGGACGGGTACATTAGGGGCTCCTGGGTACCAGGCCTATGTGTAAGGGTGCTGGAAACACCGCCTGTGGGAAGTGTGGGGGCTGCGGATGGCCTCTATGCAGGTGCTATCATGCTTTGGTGAGATGGGTGTCAGAAGAGCCATGGGGGGGCTGTTTGTGAGGCTGGTCTGCTGCGATGGCTGGAATCCACCTACTGCACCCTGTTCAGACTCTGGAAGGTGTTCTGATTAGTCTTGGTGTGCTGAGGATGGAGGGTGACCTGTCCAGGAGTATGCCAGAGGCTATGAGCAGTCCTGTAGTGAACAAGAGTTCATTAAGAACAGAAGTTCAAGAGCCCCAGGGAAGATAGGTGGGCCATGCTGAGTGGAGGGGCCCTCGGCCAGAGCTTCCCTGATCCTTTAGGGAAATACAGAGGTCAGGGGAGAAGACAAGGGCATTGGTACCACTGTCAATACACTCGGCCCAGGCAAGGGGCTCTGGACATGATGTGATAGGTGGAAGGCAGCCCTCACTGGCCAGGGGGAGAGGGAGAGCCTGCGTTGTCCTTGAGGTGGAGATGCAGCTAACCTGGGTATTCTGCCAGGAACAAGCCCAGGTCTGGCCAGGGAGGTGGGGCAAGGGAGTGGGTGTCTGAGCAGGGGATGATCGCCGGATTCCCACTCCGTGACCAGGCTGAGATTAGCTGGCAGACTGTGCCTACTTGGAGAGAGCCAGTGAGCCTAGACCAGTGCCTGCTATTCCTGCCATGGCTCCCTATGGGCACAAAGAACTTCTGGGACAGCTGTCTGTGGGATGTGTGCCTGGGACTGCCTGGGGGCACCCTTGAAATCCTTGGGTGGGTCTGTAGAGGCTGCAGGGGCACTCCGTCCCTCACTGCCCCCACAAAGGCCCATTTCTGAGCCGGAGAGCGGTGTCAGTGCCCGAGGACTTGCATGTGCGTTTGTGGGCTGTGTCCACGGGGTGCCCGGCTTCGTGCCCCCGCCCTTACCGTCCTCGGTGGGCACGTAGAGGTTGAGGTACAGGCAGTCCTCGCTCTGGTTCTGCACGTAGGTGGCGGCCGCCTCCAAGTTGTCGGTGAACCACACAGGCAGCATGATGGCGGGCAGCGCCCCGTGCAGGTTCTGCGGGCAGGCGGGCGGCAGGGTGGTGGCGTTGCGCACGCCGGGCCACGAGGCGGGCGCCTCAGGCGGCTGGAAGCGGCGGGCGCCCAGGGGCGGCGTGGCGTAGGGCACGCCCAAGAACTGCACGACGGGGCCCAGGATCTCGTTGTTGAGCTCGCGCCGCACGCCGCGCACTCGCCCGTAGGCCGTGTTCACCACCGGGAAGCGCTCCTCCCCGAGGCTGCCGAGGCCCAGGCCCGGGCCGCCCTGGGCGCCGCCGCCGGGCCCCCCTCCCCCCCGTTGAGCCCCCGCCAGCCCCACCAGACACAGCGCCAGGAGCCACATGCTGATCGGGGGACCCCCCCTCCCTCCCCGGGACCCCCCCCCTCGGAGAGAGAGAGAAGGGGGGGGAGAGGGAGGGAGGCCCCCCTCGCCCCAGGAGGGAGGAGGGGGTGGGGGAAAGAAGGGAGGAGGGGGGTGGGGAGGGACCTGGGTTAGACTGGACAGAGAAGGGGCCTGTTCCTCTCCATGGAGGGGGCACGGGGTGGGGAAGGGGAAGGAGGTGGGAGAAGGTGAAGGCAGGCCCGACCTGCGGGAGATGGAGCGAGAGGGACAGGGCGGCAGGATACAGACAGACGGACAGACAGAAAAATACAGAGGAGAGGAGGAAGAGGGCAAGGGAAATTGGATGGGGCAGACAGAAAGGAACGGGGAAACAGAAGAGACAAGTGGTTAGTGACTTGGAATTCAGACCAAGCTGCCCCCTTCTTCCACCCACAGGCCCCCTGGCACCTCCCCACTCCCACCCAGCAGCCCTTCTCCCCTCAGCAGGAGCCCAGGCTGGGGGTGGGGGCCGGATGTGGTTAAAGTCCACGACCCAGCCTGAGAAGAGCAGGCTCAGCTCCCCGGACCCCGCGTGCCCTCTTCCAGCTGAGGTTTCCCTCCCAGGCAGCCTCTCCTCAGGGACTCGGGAGTCCCAGTTCCCACCTCCTTGAGAGGGAACAAAGTAGACAAGGAAGAGGAAATAAAAATACCAAGTCATTAATTAGCAGGAAGTGGCAGGTTTGTTTACACCTGTTAATTACTTCTGAGCTGTAATTTCACGGCGCCGAACCCCCTCCCCAGGCAAGACTCAGGCATTTTCTTGGGACTGCACAAACCCAGCACCTTATCCCCTCTTCAGCACACCATTCCCTAAGGATATGTGCTGCCCGGGACCCCTATCTCTCCAGGCTCTCTCCATGTCTTCCCTCAGAAGTTGGGGTGCCTTGAGGCTGGGATTAGAGTAGGGAGGGGACGCTGGAGGGGCAAATCCAGGTACAGATTCGTGATCCTGCCGCCGGTTGCCGGGTGACGGGATGCTGCCCCGCAATGTTACCTCGGCAACAACGGGCTGCAGCTTTAACCCTGGAGGGGGGGGGTCTGGAGGAAGATGGAAAGGGGCTGGCTTGGTTTGGGGGTCCACTCAGGGCATGAGGGGAAGGGCAGAGGCATGAGTCAAGATGCAAGAGTTCCCCCCAACCTTAGCATAAAGGAAGAAGTTTATATGTTGAGAGGAGGGGCAGATTGGGGGCACCAAGAACCCTAAAAGCCCTGCCTCTTGCCCCCTGTTGGCCAGTCAGAGCCTAGCCTTAGTGACCAGGCTTCTGGGTGGGGAGAGGGGTGGGGAGGTGGGCTTGAGACGTCACAGGAGCCTACTATTCCCCTCCAGCAATCTCAAGCAGCCTTGAACCCCACCGCCTCTTCATCTTTGCAGGTCATGGTGACCCATGTCCTGGGGGCAACTCTTAGCTTTCTTCTCTTCCCATCCCATCCCATCCATTCACCCACCCTTCCCCTTGCTGCCCCCGCCGCCCCCCCCCCCAGGTTGCTGCTCTGATGCTTGGGTGCTCAGGGCAGCAGGGGCCAGGCAAGGGAAAAGATCAGACCAGAGGGGCAGGCACCCAGGTCATTTTGGCAAGCCCCCCCTGCACCCCCCCACCAGCCGCCAGAGCTGTTTGCTGACGCGGAGTTTTCCGAGCCAGGCGCCAGCCAACGGGTGGCTCTCTGCAGGTGTCAATTTATTCCAGAGATGAGGACACAGGAATCCTTACCACACACACCCAGCCATGCCCCCTGCCTTTCAGGCGCTCTAAGGCTCCTGTTCCCCCATCACCTGGAGGTGGCTCAGGCTGATTCCCCCAGGATCTCCTTCTGCTGTGCCGGACTGGGCTCAGCTACCATGGCCTTGCTGCCCCCTCCCCCCTCCCCACAACAAGATCTGTCTCAGTCACCCTCTCCTCCTGAGGGTACTCTAGGCCCCTGGCCTCCTCCCGCCAGCCAGCTCCGCTCCCTCCTTCCCTCCCACTGGAGGCCCCCCCATCTCTCTCCTCTCCGTAGTGCTCCCTGGGAACATCTTTCCTGGGCCTCTTCCAGCTTGCTCCAGCTCTTGCCTTCAGTCTCTCGCCCTCGGTCTTTTTACATCTTTCTCTTCTGTATCTCTCTCCTTGGTGTTTCTCATTTCTTTCTCTCTCTCTCCTCCAAATACCTTCCCAAATTCCCCCCTCAAACCTTCTCTCTCTCTCTCCTCTTTCCCCATCTCTGTCTCCCCCATTTTATCTCCCCATCTCTGTCTGCCACATCTTGCTCCCTCCTCCTTCTCCCCATCCCTCTGCCTTCTCTCTCCATTCCTGCCCAGGCCTGACTCCCCCAGCCGGGGAGAGTTGAGGGACGGGGGCTCAGGCCGCAGGCCCCCGCTTCCTGCAGTGGTGAAAATGGCTTGGCCGGGAAGGGGAGAAGGAGGGGGAGGGGGAGATGGGAACACACGGGGTCTGTGGGCCCATTCAAAGGATCATTCATGGACTGGAGAGAGGCAGAGACAAAGAGACCAAGACGCAGAGACACGGCGAGAGCATCCCTAGGCGGAGACACGCAGACAGAGCAGGCTGGGGGAAACCAGGCGCAGGGAGGGAGATGGGGAGAGGGAGACCCCAGTGGACCGCCACACAGCCCCCTCCACCGGCCCGGCTTAGGTCCTACCTGGCTCAGCCCTGGGGCCGTGATGCCTCCATCCAGGGCTCCGAGTTGGGGGCGAACGGCCTTCGGGAGGGGGCGGCGGCCTCTGAGCCCCCGCGGCCCCGCAGGCCCAGCCCCCGCCCGCAGCGCCTCACCCGGCGGGGGAGGGGGATCGCCCCAGCCCCGGGGGGCGGGGCCGGGATCCAGTCGATCCCCGGGAAAAGGAGAGCTAGGGGATGGGATCTAGGGGAGCCCGAGAACAGGGAACCCCGCAGTAGGGACGATACAGCAAAGAGGGGGCAACGGGACAGGACTAGATTGAGGGTCCACTGGTTCCGTGGGCCGGCTTCGAGGGACCAGAAGGCGGTCCAAGCGGAGGATCCTAAGGCTCGGGTGCTGGAGGAGGAGTACACGGCAATCCCCAGGGGCCCGGGGCCCGGGAGCGCAGGATCCGCGGTGCAGGGGCAGGGATCTAGCCGGAATCCTCGGGGAGGGGGAGGGATCTAGTCGATCCCGAGGGCGGGCAGGAGGGGGAGGTCCGGGGAGTCAGAGGAGGGCGGGAGCCGAGTCCAGAGCCCCGGGGCGGGGGTCAGCGCGGCTCCTAGGAGGGAAGGCGGAGGTGAGGGGAGGCTTCGAGGGACGCTCAGCAGCCGGGAGGCCCGGACTCCCGGCTCCGCGCGCCAGGGCCCGCCCGCCCCGCGTCCATCCCAGCCCGAGAGTGATGATCCGCCGGCGGAGCAGCCGCAGCAGCCCCGCGCGTCACCGCGCGGCCGCCTCCCCCGCCCCCTGCCGAGAGAGCGGCGCACACCCCCCGCTCGCACCCGCCTGCCCGCCCGCCCTCCGGAGAGTGGGGGGATTGGAGATGGTGGGAGGAGGCGGGAGTGGACAGACGGACAGATGGACGTAGCGGGCCAGGGCAGGGTGGAGACACCCCCCTCCCCCGATCTTCCACCCTCTGGGCTCTCGCGGTCTAGGGAGGGGAGAAAATCTGACCCATAGGGGGCGGGGCATCATGCAAAGAGGGCGGAGCCTTCAGACATGGGGAGGAGCCATTCGTGCAGTGGGCGGGGCTTACTGGCAATAGGTGGGGCTTGGGTATCTTTGGGGCCGCCTCTTTTTGGGAGTGGGCTTGATTTGAAGCTGAACAGGAGGAGCCTGCGGGAAAAGGGGCGGAACTTTGAGAGAAGACCGGGATCTTTGGAAATTGGCCGGAGCGATGGGGGGGTGGGGCGTTCGAAGAGGCTATCAACTTGGAAAGTGGGCCAATCCGTGACGCAAATCCGCTAGTCCCGCCCTCAACCCCGCCCCCCACTTCTTAGCTCCTCCGCTCCTAATTGGTGTTGGTTTCTCCGCCCGCCAGACGTCTTCGCCACTCTGCAGCGGTTTTACAAAGGTGGGTGAAGAGCTCAATGCTGAAGTGAACACGCCCCGGATTGGGCGCCTGTGAACCTTATTTGCATGGGCTTCCGGGATTGGCTGGCCTCTTGGCTGGCCTAGGCGGCGTTCGTCCCGTGCGTCCTGTTCTACAGCTATGGCCGGGTCAGCGGCAGCTTTCCGCCGCCTGGGCGCTTTGTCCGGAGCTGCGGCCTTAGGCTTGGCCTCCTACGGCGCGCACGGTCGGGGGCTGGGGACGAAGCTGGGACTGTGCCTGGGACGTCCTCTGGGGTCTAGTGCATGGGCGGAACCTGTGGGAAGTCCCCGGCCTCATGTTTATCTGCCAGCCCGCGGAGCCTGAAGCCTTTTGAAGTCCCCCAGCCGGGTCCAATTGGTTCCCAGTACTGCCCGAGCGTGTTCCCACCAATCGGAAGCTTCCTGGGGGTGGTGCCGTTTCTCGTCGGTGTCCACCTGGATCCCCTCGGATTGGGGGTGGTCAGGGCTGGCACTGGGACCGGTAACCTTTGCTTCTTTTCTCCACAGGCGCCCAATTCCCAGATGCCTACGGAAAGGAGGTGAAGTAATTGCGCTAGGGCTCCCTGATTCGCGGGTCTCTGAAGGCACAAAGTCTGGGGACCACTGGGGAAGTGGGCCGGGAGTGGGAGGCGAGCCTCGGATCTCTAGACCAGCAAAGGCCAAAGGCTCTGTAAGCCAAAGGCCTGGGAGCAAGCTGAGACTTCCCGGGTGAGGTGGGGACACGAACTTCGGTCCCTGTATCATCAGGAGATCTCAGGCACCTGCACTGCCTACTATATCCCTTCGTTTCTCTTTTCCTTACAGCTCTTTGACAAGGCCAACAAACACCACTTCTTCCACAGCCTGGCCCTGTTAGGGGTGCCCCATTGCAGAAAGCCCCTCTGGGTAATCTTTCCCTGGGCCTAACCCCTCCTCTGGGTAGTCTTATCCTGTGCCTAACCCTGACCAAGACCCACACCCTCCCTCTCAGCCTGCCATGTTCTTATAGTCCTGTTTTCTGTGCCATGTCTCCTTCAGGCTGGGTTACTGCTAGCTTCCGGAACGACCTTATTCTGCACCAGCTTTTACTACCAGGCTCTGAGTGGAGACCCCAGCATCCAGCCTTTGGCCCCTGCGGGAGGGACCCTGCTACTCTTGGGCTGGCTTGCCTTGGCTCTTTGAGCTTCCTTTTGCTTAATTACTGGGTTTTCTGGGCAGTTTTTTAAAAAACAGTTGGAGTAAAAAGAGGATTAAAAAGGAAAGGCAAATAAACTTTGGCGTCTTTGTTCATCTAACCTCTTGGAGGAGAACGAAGGGTGGGGATTCAACCTCTGAACTCCCTCCATTTCTTAAGACTTAATCAGCGAGCCTTAGGTCTGGGGATTCTGTCCACTTCAAGTTACCTTGTTATCATGTTCTTACCGTGGTAGGCATCAAAATCATAAAGAATGCTTGAAATAATGCAGATTCCGCCGGGCGTGGTGGCTCACGCCTATAATCCAAGCAATTTGGAGGCTAAGGCAGGCGGATCACCTGAGATTGGGAGTTCAAGACCAGCCTGACCAACATGGTGAAATCCCGTCTTAAAAAGAAAAAAAGAAATAATGCAGATTGCTACTGAAGTGCTCTTTCGGTCCTGAGAACCTGTATTCTAATAAGCTCAACCTTGTGATTCTGATGCTCACTAGGTTTTTCATTTGTTTAATTTATTTATTTAGTGACTATTCTTATTTTGAGATGGAGTCTTCCTCTGTCACCCAGGCTGGAGTGCAGTGGCTCCATCTCAGCTCACTGCAACCTGTACCTCCTGGGTTCAAGTGATTCTTCTGCCTCAGCCTCCCAAATAGCTGAAGATTACAGGTGCCCGCCACCACACCCAACTAATTTTTGTATTTTTAGTAGAGACGGGCTTCACCATGTTGGCCAGGCTGGTTTCGAACTCCTGACCTCAGGTGATCTGCCTGCCTCAGCCTCCCAAAGTGCTAGGGTTACAGGCATGAGCCACCAAGCCCAGTCTGTTTTATTTTTATTTTATTTATCTATTTATTTATTGAGATGGAGCTTCACTCTTGTTGCCCAGGCTGGAGTGCAATGCTGCGATCTCGACTGACCACAACCTGCACCTCCCGGGTTCAAGTGATTCTCCTGCCTCAGCCTCCCTAGTAGCTGGGATTATAGGCATGCACCACCACACCTGGCTAATTTTGTATTTTTAGTAGAGATGAGGTTTCTCCATGTTGGTTAAGCTGGTCTGGAACTCCCAGCCTCAGGTGATCCAGCCACCTCTGTCTCCCAAAGTGCTGGGATTACTGGCATAAGCCACCCCGCCCATCCTAATTTTATTTATTTTTTTGAGGCAAAGTCTCACTGTTTCCCAGGGTGGAGTGCAGTGGCATGAGCTTGGCTCACTGCATCCTTCCCCTCCTGGGTTCAAGTCATTCCCCTGCCTCAGCCTCTCAAGTTGCTGGGATTACAGGCATGTGCCATCACACCCACCTAAGTTTTGTATTTTTAGTAGAGATGGGGTTTCACCATAATGGCGAAGCTGGTCTTGAACTCCTGACGTCAAGCAGTCTACCCACCTCGGGCTCCCAAAGTGCTGAGATTTTTTAAAATTACCATAGGATCATGGTTTTCAGCCCTGTTGTTAGAAAAATTTATCAAGCACCCACTTACTCTAGAAGTGAGGATTAAGGCAAGGCACGATAGGAGTGTCATTAGTTACAAAATACTTTGGGGTTCAAAGCAGGGACAGATCATCATGTTTGGGCATCAGAAAATGCGTCACAATGCTTGCCATGATCCTTAAAGGAGCTCTATTGTGTGGAAAAAACAATGAACAAAGAACAAGACGGGGAGGAGAGGGGTTTGGAGAAATGGGGGTCCTCAGTGTGGGCTGAGTGAGTTAGGCAGGAAAGGAGTGAGAAAAGGTGTGAGGGCAGGCTGGAGTGCAGTCACAGCATCTGGAGAACTGGGGCCAGGTGCCATGGCTCGCCCCTGTAATCCCAGCACTTTGGGAGCCTGAGGCGGGCAGATCATGCGGTCAGGGGTTCGAGACCAGCCTGGCCAGCATGGTGAAACTCCATCTCTAATAAAAATACAGAAATTAGCCAGGCATGGTCGCACACACTGGTAGTTCCAGCCACTCGGGAGGCTGAGGCAGGAGAATCTCTTGAACCGGGAGGCAGAGGTTGCAGTGAGCTGAGATCACACCACTGCACTCCAGCCTGGGCAACAGAGTGGGACTCTGTCTCAAAAAAAAAAAAAAAAAAAAAAAAAAAAAAAACAGATGGCCAGTCATGGTGGCCCACGCCTGTAATCCCAGCACTTTGGGAAGCTGAGGCAGGTGGATCATCTGAGGAGTTTGAGACCAGCCTGGCCAACATGGTGAAATCCTGTCTCTATTAAAAAAAAAAAAAAATTAGCCAGACATGGTGATGTGTGCCTGTAATCCCAGCTAGTTGGGAGGCTGAGGCTGGAGAATCTCTTGAACCTGAGAGGCAGACGTTGCAGTGAGCCGAGAATGTGCTATTTATTGCACTTCAGCCTGGGCGGCTGAGCAATACTCTGTCTCAAATAAATAAATAAACAAACAAACAAAAAATTAGCCCAATGTGGCGGTTCACTCGTCATCCCAGCTACTCAGGAGGCTGAGGCAGGAGAATTGCTTGAACCGGGGAGGCAAAGGTTGTGGTGAGCTGAGATCATGCAACTGAACTCCAGCTTGGGCAACAGAGTGAGACTCAAAAAAAAAAAAAAAAAAGAGAGAGAGATGAAATGGGGTCTCACTATGTTGGTTGCCTAGGCTAGTCTTAAATTCCTAGGCCCAAGCAATCCTGCCTCAGTCTCCTACCCAGTTACTTGATAGGCTAAAGTGGAAGGACAGCTACAGCCTGGGCAACACGGTGAGATGCTGTCTCTAAAATCATTAAAATAATGTGATGGCATTTGCCTGTAGTCCCAGTGCTCAGGAGGCTGAGGCACGAGAATAGCTTGAGCCTAGTTTTGTTTTTGTTTTTGTTTGAGATGGAGTCTTGCTCTGTTGCCCAGGCTGGAGTGCAGTGGCATGATCTCAGCTCATTGCAGCCTCCGCCTCCCAAGTTCAAGCAATTCTCATGCCTCAGCCTCCTGAGTAGCTGGTCTTACAGGCATGTGCCACCACGCCCAGCTAATTTTGTATTTTTAGTAGAGATGGGGTTTTTCCACGTTGGTCAGGCTGGTCTCGAACTCCCAACCTCAGGTGATCCACCCACCTCGACCTCCCAAAGTGCTGGGATTACAGGCGTGAGCCACCACACCCTGCCTGACTAATCTTTAAAATGAAGAAATATTGTGATCTACGAGTGTACCCTTAATTATGCCACCTCCTTGTATATAAATGCTTCAGTGGCTCCCCAATCCCCTCAGAAGATAGTCCAGCATCTCAGCACAAGGCCCTCCACCATTTGGTCCTGTCCTTGTCTCTCTGCTGACCTTCTCCCAATCCTCAGGCCAGCCCCTAGGAATTCTTCAGGTCTCTAATACTCTTTGTTGCTTCAGGGAAGCCTTGAAAGCTGCTGTTACAGGATTCAGGAGCTCAGTAGACCCCAGTGTTGGTGATAGAAATTCTGGAATTAAAAGTATGCAGATTGTATTTAGAGATAATGGAATGAGATGAAATTACCTAAAATCTTCTCACATAGAGAAAGAATCTGCACACTTTTAAAAATGCATACCTTTAGGCGGGGCGCAGTGGCTCACGCCTGTAGTCCCAGCACCTGTAATCCTGGGAGGCGAAGGCAGGAGGATAACATGAGTTGAGGAGTTCCAGACCAGCCTGGCCAACATGGCGAAACCCCGTCTCTACTAAAAATACAAAAATTAGCCAGCGAGGTGGTGTGTGCCTGTAATCCCAGCAACTTGGGTGGCTGAGGCATGAGGATCGCTTGAACCCAGGAGGCAGAGGTGGCAGTGAGCCGAGATCGTGTCACTGCCCTCCAGCCTGGGTGACAGAGCAAGACCCTGTCTCAAAAATTAAAAATAAAAAATAAATGCATACCTTCAGAAAAATTAAACATACCCTCAAAATATTATACAGATTGTACTTTATAAAGCATACACAAAAATATAAATTAAAAATGAAGACAGCTGGATGTGGTGGTGTATGCCTGTAGTCCCACCTACTCAGGAGGCTGAGGCAGAAGGATCGCTTGGGACTAGGAGTTTGAGACAAGTGTGCTAAGATCAAGCCTGTGAATAGCCACTGTACTCCAGCCTGGACAACATAGCAAGACCCCATCTCAAAAAAAAGAATGAGTGACTTAAACTTTTCAGTGACGTACTATTGCATTGCAAATAGATTCCAAGTGCCATCCCACTGCCTGAAAGGCCTGCACTGGCCATCCGAGCCTTGACTCTTCGTCACTACGTGGCATCTGCATTGCCAACCCACCACATTTTCTTCTGCCTCAATGTTTTGAGCTGCTCTTTTCAGCATGTTTTACCAGTTATTCTTTGTGCCTAGAATACACTTCTCCACTTTATGCATAGTTAGTTCAGCTTCAATAGGATCACCTTGGTGAGGCCTTCTAAATCTGAAGGAGTGCACCCTGCACCATCCAGCTGTTCACAGCCTCTCTGTTCTTTTTCGTTTTGTTTGAGACAGGGTCTCATGTTGTCACCCAGTTGGAGTGCAGTGGTGCCATAAGAACCGGCTGCAGTCTCTATTTCCCCAGCTCAAGCAATTCTGTCACCTCGGCCTCCTGAGTAGCTGGGACTACAGGTGTGCACTACCATGCCTGGCTAATATTTAATTATTTTGTAGAGATGGGGTCTCACCAGGCATGGCGGCTCACACCTGTAATCCCCACACTTTGGCAGGCTTGAGGGGGGCAGATCACAAGGTAAGGAGTTCGAGACCAGCCTGGCCAGCATGCTGAAACCCTGTCGCTACTAAAAATACAAAAATTAGCCGGGCATGGTGGTGTGCACCTGTGGTCCCAGCTACTCAGGAGGCTGAGGCAGAAAAGTTGCTTGAACCCAGGAGGCAGAGGTGGCAGTGAGCCAAGATCATACCACTGCACTGCAGTGTGGGCGACACAGTGAGACTCCATCTCAAAAATGAAACACAGATGAGATGCGATCTCACCATGTCGGTTGCCTAGGCTAGTCTCAAACTCCCAGGCCCAAGCAATCCTCCTGCCTCAGCCTCCTACCCAGTTACTTGGGAGGCTAAAGTGGGAGGACAGCTGCACCCCAAGCAGTCAAGACCAGCCCGGGCAACACAGTGAGATGCTGTCTCTAAAATCATTAAAATAATGTGATGGCATTTGCCTGGAGTCCCAGTGCCCAGGAGGCTGAGGCACGAGGATAACTGGAGCCTAGAAGTTTTGTTTTTGTTTGAGACGGAGTCTTGCTCTGTTGCCCAGGCTGGAGTGCAGTGGTTCGATCTCAGCAAACTGTAGCCTTTGTCTCCCAGGTGATTCCCAAGTGATTCTCGTGCCTCAGCCTCCCAAGTAGGTGGGATTATAGGCATGTGCCACCACGCCCGGGTAATTTTTTTGTAGAGATGGGGTTTCACTGTGTTGGCCAGGCTGGTCTCAAACTCCTGACCCTCAGTGATCTGACTGCCTCAGCGTCTCAAATGCTGGGATTAGAGTTGTGAGCCACTGTGCCCGGCCAAGCCTAGGAGTTTGAGGCTGCAGTGATCTCTGATGGTGCCATGGCACTCCAGCCCGAGTGACAGAGTGAGACCTCAGTCTCATAGATGAATAAATAGGCTGGGTGTAATGGCTCACACCTGTAGTCTCAGCACTTTGGGAGGCTGAGGCAGGTGGATCACTGAAGCCCAGGAGTTCAAGACCAGCCTGCACGACATGGCCAAACCTCATCTCTACAAAAAATACAAAAATTAGCTGGGCCTAGTGGCACATGCCTGTCTTCCCAGCTACTCGGGAGGCTGAGGTGGGAGGATGCCTTGACTGGGAAGCAGAAGTTATGAGTGGAGATCATGCCACTGCACTCTAGCCTGGGCAACAGACCAAGACCCTGTCTGAGTAAATAAATAAGGCCTCAGAGGGGAACTCCAGAGTGGCCCAAAGGGGCTAGGTACAGTGGCTCACACCTGTAATCCCAGCACTTTGGGAGACCAAGGTGGGAGGATCACTTGAGACCAAGAGTTTGAGACCAGCCTGGCCAACAACCCCTTTTCCACTAAGAATACAAAAATGAGCTGGGCATCGTGGCAGTAGCCCCAGCTACTTGGACGGCTTAGGCAGAATTGCTTGAGTCTGGGAGGTAGAGGCTGTAGTGAGCCAAGATCACACCACTGCACTCCAGCCTTGCTGACAGAGTGAGATTAAAAACAAAAAACCAAAAAACAGAAAAACCAGAGTGACCTAAAGGTCCAGTGGCAGAGCCAAGGCTGGGTCCCCAGGCTTCTGCCTTCCAGTCCAGTGCTCTGACTGCATTTACGTCCTTCATCTCAGAGGGCATCTTCATCTGGCCTTCTATGATCTCTCTGACCTTCCCCTCATTAACTCCATTCCAGCCTTGTGGGTCTTCTGCCTCAGGACCTTTGTCCCTGCTGTTCCCTCTGCCTGAAACACTTAACAAGTCATCTGCACAGCTTGGTCCCTCACCTCCTTTAGGTTCTTGCTCAGCTATTGCCTTCTGGGTGATGCCTTCCTAGCCTGCCCTCTTTAATTATTTATTTTGAGATGGAGTCTTGTTCTTGTTGCCCAGGCTGGAGTGCAATGGCACCATCTCAGCTCACTGCAACCTGTGCCTCATGGGTTCAAGAGATTCTCCTGCCTCAGCCTCCGGAGTAGCTGGGACTACAGGCGCCTGCCACCAGGCCTGGCTAATTTTTGTATTTATTTATTTTTTTAATTATTTTTGAGACAGAATTTTGCTCTTGTTGCCCAGGCTGGAATGCAACGGCGTGATCTCGGCTCACCACAACCTCTGCCTCCTGGGTTCAAGTGATTCTCCTGCTTCAGCCTCCCGAGTAGCTGGGATTGCAAGCATGCGCCATGATGCCCGGCTAATTTTGTATTTTTAGTAGAGACGGGATTTATCCGTGTTGGTCAGGCTAGTCTCAAACTCCAGACCTCAGGTGATCTGCCTGCCTGGGCCTCCCAAAGTGCTGGGATTACAGGCGTGAGCCACTGCGTTCTGTCACGATCTTTCTAAAACACACATGACCTTCTCTGTCCCAAAAATGTCTCGGTGGGCTTCTTGCTGCCCGTGGGGCCAAATCCCAGCTTCCACATGGCCCCCAGTGTCCGTGGACTGCACTCCCTCTCCAAACTCATCTCTTGCCCAAGGCCAGGACTGGCCCTGGCTCAGGATCCAGTCGAAGAGACTCGTCTCAGGGTCCTTTTCTGACCGCGCTTCCTTCTCTGGTCCCCTGGGCGCCCTGAGCACGCTCACTGACATCGTTTGGCGGCCTGTCGCCCGCGTGGCTGGGGCACCTGCAGAAAGTGCTGTCGCTGAGAGGTGCCCGTGTGGGTCACCGCTGCGCCAGGGAGGGCAGAGGGCGAGGTCGCCCCTGGGAGGCAGAAGGGGAGCCAGGAGCCAGTCCTGGAAGGCAAGGAGTGAGAGTGAAGGGTGTTTCGCTGCGTCAGCGTGGCCCGACCGCCCTTGGGAGGAGGAGCCCAGGGGCCAGGGCGGCGCGGGCCACCCTCGCCTCCCACCAAGGGCGCTGAGCACGCAAGCCCGCCGGCCCAGCGGGGTTAGCCGGGCCCCGGCCCAGCCGCTGCCCTCCGCAGGCGCTCCTACTCTCCCGGCTTCTGCAGTCCGAGCGGAAGGGGCGGGAACGCCGGCGACTGCCGAGGGACGAAGCGCAAGCTCGGCTTCCCTGGGCAGCTGGCGGCCTCCTTCCTCTCGACGCAGACGCGCTGCCCAGGAGAGGGCGGGCCCGGCGGGTCGCGGGGCGGGGCCGGGGTCCGAACCCGGGCCCGCCTCCGCCTCCGCCAGCACTGGTGAGCCGCCGAGTGCTAGGCACCGGGCTGTTTTGGGGGCTCCAGGTGAGCGGGGGCACAGAGGGATCAGGGAGACCGTCCTCGAGGTGGGGCCGTTGGTCTGATCGCGGGTCCATCTGTCCTGCCGTCCGCCCACAGACGCCTCCGCAGAATGGGAGAACAAAGGGAGGGGGCGGTTCTGGGGCCCCCTAGGGAATCCAGGGTCCCAGGTACCCAGCCCCGGCCACTGACACTTTGGGTTTCTCCCCGAGTCAGAGGCGCCGCCCTAGAGATTCTGGGCCGGCGCCGGGCGCAGCTGCCTCTCCACATTTGCCTGTCCGTCTTTGTGTCTGTTTCTGTGTCTGTCTGGCTGTCTCAGAGTTTGCCATCGCTTCCAGAACTAAGCCACCCAGACACCAACATCCCGAAAACCCCAACCTTCTCCCATGGCAGGTAAGTGCGCGCAAGGCCAGGGGTCTCCGTTATCCCCCCACGGACTTGGGAGCCGGGTGCGAACACATCCTCCCGGAATGTGCTCGGACTGGCTGGGTGGGGCCCCTCCCTTCCTTCCGGGGAACCTCCACCATGCTCCCCTGCCCCATCTTTCTCTGCCTCTTCGCACCACATTTCCCCCGAGCCTCGGGGTCCATGGGCTGAGGAATAAGGCGATGAGGCCTCGGAGCCCTTTCTAATCTATCCTGCCCCCACCCCTTTACAGGCTACTTGCCCCCCAAAGGCTACGCCCCTTCGCCCCCACCTCCCTACCCTGTGACCACTGGGTACCCAGAGCCGGCGCTACATCCTGGGCCCGGGCAGGCGCCAGTGCCCGCCCAGGTACCTGCCCCAGCTCCCGGCTTCGCCCTCTTCCCCTCGCCCGGCCCCGTGGCCTCGGGATCTGCTGCCCCCTTCTTGCCAGTGCCAGGGGTGCCTTCTGGCCTCGAATTCCTGGTGCAGGTGAGTGGGAGGCGGCGACGGAGGGAAGGAGGGTGACTGGGAGGGGACCCGGGCGTCCAGATGGGCCGGCTGATGTGCGCACCGCCCTTCTCTCCCAGATTGATCAGATTTTGATTCATCAGAAGGCTGAGCGAGTGGAAAGTAAGTGGAAGGAGTAGGAGGTTGGACCTCGTGATGGTGGCCGGGATGGTGGGCTCCTGGGCGCGCGAGGCTCTATAAGTCTCCCCGTGTCATCCCTGGCAGCGTTCCTAGGCTGGGAGACCTGTAACCGGTATGAACTGCGCTCTGGGGCCGGGCAGCCCCTGGGTCAGGCGGCCGAGGAGAGCAACTGCTGCGCCCGTCTGTGCTGTGGCGCCCGCCGGCCGCTGCGTGTCCGCCTGGCGGACTCCGGGGACCGCGAGGTGCTGCGTTTGCTCCGCCCGCTGCACTGTGGCTGCAGCTGCTGCCCCTGTGGCCTCCAGGAGGTGGGCGGGAGGGATGGGGCCCGGAGGGCGGGCCTTGGTGGGGCGGGCCAATGATGAGATCCGCCTGAGACTAGACCTGGCTCAGGTGGGAGTGGGCAGGTGGGGATGGGAGGTTGAGTGAGAGGGCCAAGTAGACAGATGATAGAGCTGGGTGATAGAGACCGTGCCTCAACAGTGATCCTGTCTGCTTCCCACTCCAGATGGAAGTCCAGGCTCCACCAGGCACCACTATCGGCCACGTGGTACAGACCTGGCATCCCTTCCTCCCCAAGTTCTCCATCCAGGATGCGGATCGCCAGACAGTCTTGCGAGTGGTGGGGCCCTGCTGGACCTGTGGCTGTGGCACAGACACCAACTTTGAGGTATCAGGAATACCTAGAGATTCTTGGGATCTTCATAAACCAAGATGACACCTCCATGAGGCAGGATGCCTAACACTAAGGTCAAAACCTCAGCTCATCAATCCAAATCCACTGTCACTCCTACCGCATTTCCAGCATTCCTCCGTTTGTAAATTGGATGGCCCCGTGCTATAAAAATCCCCCTTTTATGAGCATAACAAGGAGGATTTCATCTTAAGGAGCAATTCTGATTATTACACATGGCCCTGAGATGGGCAGGAAAAAAATCTAATGCCAGCCTGGATTTAGGGTGAAGGATGATTAAGTCTGCGTGGGCTGGTCCCATGTGGCTGCTGTGTATGAGTTCGTGAGCCCAGCCCAGGCCCTGGAGCAAGTACGATTTTTTTTTTTTTTTTTTTTTTTTTTTTAGACAGAGTTTCATTCTCGTTGCCCAGGCTGCAGTACAATGGGGCAATATTGGCTCACTGCAACCTCCGCTTCCTGGGTTCAAGTGATTCTCCTGCCTCAGCCTCCTAAGTAGCTGGAATTACAGCCACCATGCCCAACTAATTTTTGTATTTTTAGTAGAGACGGGGTTTTCACCATGTTGGACAGGCTGGTCTCAAACTCCTGACCTCAGGTGATCCACCCAGCTCGGCCTCCCAAAGTGCTAGGATTACAGGCATGAGCCGCGACGCCCAGCCACAAGCACAATTTTAACATGTTAACATCCTGTGGCTTGCCCTGCTAAAGTAGAATCCAAATGACCCTTCCATTCTGAAATCCAAGTCTGTCCTTCTCACTGTGCATCCCTGTCACCAACCTGGAACTGGAGATCCCAAGTGGTGAGAATTTCAGAGTGAGGCCTTGGGAAGCACCTTGGATTCTAGAAGACAGAGGCACTCCACAGACCCTTGAGTTGTTTTTTTTTTTTTTTTTTTGAGATGGAGTCTCGCTCTGTCACCCAGGCTAGAGTGCAGTGGCACAATCTCGGCTCACTGCAATCTCTGCCTCCCAGGTTCAAGCAATTCTCCTGCCTCAACCTCCCAAGTAGCGAGACAGGGTTTCACCATGCTGGCCAGGCTGGTCTCGAACTCCTGACCTCGTGATCTGCCCGTCTCTGCCTCTCAAAGTGCTGGGATTACAGGCATGAGCCACCGTGCCTGGCCTGACCCTTGAGTTCTTTAAAGGATACTTCCTTGTGCAGGTAAGGGAGAAACAACAGGTATAATCTCGTAGACTTTCCAACACTTCTAATGAGGTACCTATCTAAGGCTGCTTTGAAAAAATGAGTCACCCTAGTAGCCAAAGGGAGATTCTGTGATGGGAACCAGTTGGGAATAAGAACTAATAACTGCGTGGGAATCTCTGGGTGGGAATTTATAGGCTGTAGGGTTCTCATAGGGCCAGTGTCCCTTTCACTTAATTATAAATGGTCCATACTTGCGGCTGTACCCTTAGGACCATGGCAGGAAATGCCCCAGAGCTATAGGACAGTGCAGGAAGGGGATGGCAATGACACAAAAGGAAATCACTCCAGTTGTAATCACTGGAGAATGAGCACTGGAAAAGGACCAGGAAGTAACGGGCAGCAACTACCCACATCGGCAGGCCCTGTTGCTGTGTGGCTCAGAGAAGCCAGTGGAAATTGTGGTCCTCAAAGGCTACTGACTGCTGCCCCTCCCCACAGTAGAGAGGCATGTATCCCCTCTAGATGAGGTTCTCATGCAGTGCTGGACAAGGCCCTCCCCTACTTTGCATTAGAGAGAAGGCACTCTTTGGGACAGACACAGCCTTCTAGGAGCCTTCTTGGCTGGTGAAGTACAGCCAGAATTCAGGCAGCTTTCCTTGCCCTTTTGGCCAGGGTACTTTGTGCAGGACACAGACTGTGCCAGTTGTGGGTGGCAGGGGCATTGGGAACCAGAGCAGTTAGCAAACAGCTATACCCTACGGGGATTGGATGAGATCATGCTTCCATTTCTCCCATCGCTGATACTCAGTTAGGTCATGCATCACCTTCGGATAGCAGCAGATCTGAGTCTGAATCCTGATTTTGGTTAGAGACTTACAGCGTGATCTGGAGTGCCTCAGTTTCCCCAGCTGTCATACTTGGTGATGGGAACCGGTTGGGAAAGCGATCACTGGGTGACCTCTAGAAGGGAAGGTTCACTGAGTGAAGAGCCTGTAAATTCATACATGCGACTGTGGGAGTGAGACCGGAGGCACGTGAGACTGGCCGCTTACTCCTCAGTTGGCTCATTCCTGCCTCCCCGCCGACAGGTGAAGACACGGGATGAATCCCGAAGTGTGGGCCGCATCAGCAAGCAGTGGGGGGGCCTGGTCCGAGAAGCCCTCACGGATGCGGATGACTTTGGCCTACAGTTCCCACTGGACTTGGATGTGAGGGTGAAGGCTGTGCTGCTGGGAGCCACATTCCTCATTGTGAGTTGGCTGCCCCTGTCCCCACCTCCTGCCTGTCCTTTGCCGTCAGTTGAAGCTTTATGCATTTCCTGGCCTCTTGCTAGGGGAAGGTCAGGGATAGATGTTGGAGGGGGGGTCAAAGTTCCAGAGCTGGCCTGTCACAGCCGAGCTGGGCTGGCCCTGCCGGATCTCCTGGTGACAGTGGCCTCCTCTTAGGACTACATGTTCTTCGAGAAGCGAGGAGGCGCTGGGCCCTCTGCCGTCACCAGTTAGAGGCCACCATGGTGTGAGGAGACCATCGCCTCAGCCAGAACTCCAGATGGTCATCTGCCCTGGCCCTCCTCTGGGCAGCCCCTTTCCTCCATGTACACTGCAGGGGACAGAAGGTGGCCCCCATCCCTACCCTACTCCCTGGCCTCCTGCCCCTGTGGTCCCCAAGGAGGGGCAGCCCTTCTCCTGCTACCTCCCACCACTGCCCCAGCAGTCCCTCGGCACACAGGCATAACAGCTGTCAAACTTTCCCTACGTACGCCCTCCCACCCCCTTTCAGGGCCTCTGCTCCAAAGGAGGCCTCTGGAACCCTGGACTCTGGGGTTTTATAAGAGGGCTGGGGTGGGGAAGGGCAAGCTGCACCAAAGACGGTGGACATAGCCACCCCACCCCTGCATCTGCTCAGCTAATTAGTTCAGCTTCAGACCGTGGCACTCAATGGGGTCTCCACCTCCCCAACAATAGCTGCAGGGGGACCCCAGTGCCAACTTCCTCTCCCACTAGGGCCCTGCCCTCAGCTGGTGCTTGCTGCTCTTCCTGTGCCTTATTTAACCGCCCTTCCTTCCCTTGCCCTAGGAAAAAGGCTGCATCTTTGTATGTTACATTCATATAAACTTTGTAACTTTTTGGACATTGGAAGACGTATGTAATAGGGAAGGGTGGAAGGAGTTGGTGCCAGGAAAAACAAAGGGGAATGTGAGGGCTGGGGCAGGGGCTGGCCGGTCTCATGATCCATAGTGCCAGCATCAAACGTCCTTGAGCGCAAAGAGCAGTCGTCATCACCCACCATGGCCCTGGACCAAACAAAGAGAGTTTGGGCCTCATACCCCAAGTCAATATGGCGGCTTCCATCATCCAAGATGGCTGCCCCACAGTCTAGGGCGATAGCAGATGGCAGTTCAGGATGGCTGTTCACATGGTCCAGTGTGGCCCCTTGATCATCCTCTCTAGCGAGTAGAAGCTTCCTCTGGATATGATGTATAGCAGCTCTTTTCTTCCAAGTTGTCCTCTTGTTTGAGAATGTAGTGGGCAGGCTAGAACCTTCTTGACCCAGCCAAAGGAGCTTCAGCCTTCAGAGGCCAAGGAGCATGGGAAGCAGGAGACACTTCCCAGTGCCCAACCCTGGGCTCCTCCCCAGGTGGAAAGTCTACCCCTGTCAGGACCTTGTTCTGGTTCTGCTTGGTCCCACGTGGTCAGGCCCTCAGGGGCCTAGGCTTTTCATGTTGGTGTCCATGCCCACAGAAGCGAGCTCAGGGCCTGGCCAGGACATAGCGACTGGCAGCTGAGAGGTCCCACTGGTAATGCTCTAGGATGCGCCGGCAGTCAGCCCTGGACCGGCTACTCAGGTGGAAGAGCTGGTCTACCTGTGGAAGCAGGAGGGTGGGCTGCAGCTGACTGCCAGGTGGCAGGGACAGGAGAGGAGGGACGCCAAGAGAAGGGGCTAGCTTTTTTTTCCTTTTTTTTTGAGACGGAGTTTCGCTCTTGTTACCCAGGCTGGAGTGCAATGGCGCGATCTTGGCTCACCGCAACCTCCGCCTCCTGGCTTCAGGCAATTCTCCTGCCTCAGCCGCCTGAGTAGCTGGGATTACAGGCACGCACCACCACGCCCAGCTAATTTTTTGTATTTTTTAGTAGAGACGGGGTTTCACCATGTTGACCAGGATGGTCTCGGATCTCTTGACCTCGTGATCTACCCGCCTCGGCCTCCCAAAGTGCTGGGATTACAGGCTTGAGCCACCGCGCCCGGTGGCCTTTTTTTTTTTTTTTTTTTTAAGACTCAGTTTCAGTCTTGTCTGCCAGGGTGGAGTGCAATGGTGCGATCTGGACTCACTGCAACCTCCACCTCCCAGGTTCAAGCAATTCTCCTGCCTCAGCCTCCTAAGTAGCTGGGATTACAGGTGATCGGCTAATTTTTTATATTTTCAGTAGAGACAGGGTTTCACCATACTGGCCAGGCTGATCTTGAAATCCTGACTCAGGTGATCTGCCTGCCTAGGCCTCCCAAAGTGCTGGGATTACAGGCATGAGCCACCACGCCTGGCCGGGGCTGGCTTTACCTTAAGGTTCTGGATGGCTGAAACCACATCTCCCCTAGTGGCTCCCAGTGCTGCCTGGCACTCCTGGTGGGTGACTCCATGCACACTCAGTTCCACCTGTGACACACAAAGCCTCACTCAGGCCCCTGCCCCTGCATGTAGCCCCTTCCGGACACCAGGCCATTTCAGTGAGACCTCACCTCCATAATCTTCCTCTGCAACTGAGGATCGGGCAAGAGGCCTCCAGAGAGGACAGCGGCTTTGCTAGCTCCAGGCGCTCCCATGGGCTGATTGTGTGGGGGTTTTCTTTTGGGCCAGGGAAGCCGCTCCCTAGGGAGCTGGCTGGGCTGAGGTGAGCTAGAGGATAAAGGTGGGCGTGGAGGCAGGCCTGGGGGTCCCTGGGGTACAGCTCTGGCTTGTCGAATCTCAGGGGGGCTTGAACCACCCCCTGTGGGGCGAGGACCAAGGGACAGAACTGACTCCAGACTCCTGGAAATGCCTGCACAGTTGAGAAAGAAACAGCTTGATCTCGGCTTGCTGCAGCCTCTGCCTCCCAGGCTCAAGTGATCCTCCCACCTCAGCCTCCTGAGTAGCTGGGTCCACAGGTGTCTGCCACCACACCTGGCTAATTTTTCTATTTTTGTAGAGACAGGGTTTTGCCATGTTGCCCAGGCTAGTCTCAAACTCCCGGACTCAAGCCATCCGCCCACCTTGGCCTCCCAAAGTGCTGGGATTACAGGCATGAGCTGCCGCACCCCGCCCACTCTCTGTCTTCATCTATGCTGGGCTGGATGGTTTCCGCAAGTATTTGCAGATGAGCTGTGGTTCATGTGTCAGGTAGGACAATAGAACAGAGGTGCACATGGACACCAAGGCCTAGGCGGAGGGCCCAGAGTGTGGAGGTGTTCTTCAGTAGGAAAAGCAAGAGGGCTTCCTATCTTTGAAGATTTCAGTCCACCTAGGATGCCAGCAGACAGAATTCAGAGGAAGGAAATAATAGATGCAAAGGCACGGATTCAGGGCAGGGGGTCAGAATTGAAGGGCTGGTTTGATCTCCTCAGAGACCCCGGAGTCCCACCACACCCACCTTTCATCCTCTCGAGGGGTGCATTCCTTCTCTGGCCCCGTGCTGGAGGCACATCCCAAAGATTTGCTTTCTTTCTGTCTCTGTTGGAGAGAGATCCAGTTCTTCCTCCACACCAACCCTCCCCATCCCACAGATCAATATCCCTTCCCCCCACCAAAAAAAAAAAACCTCACGGGGGAACCTAGGAGACCCAGGGCCCAGGGAGGAGGGTGCAGCTTCACTCTGGTCCTGTCTCCAAGCTTCCTTTCCAGAGAAGTCCCTAGACTTTGTCAGTTCTCCCAGCCCACCCCTGTCCCCCACCCTTTCAGGTCCTCACCCATCTATGCTTCCTGGGTGTTGATCTCCCCGGGCAGGGGTGCCTCTGTGGACTGGACGGGTGGCTGGCAAGCCCCCTGCCTCTGCCAGAGTCACTGCGGAGGCTGGGAAGCTGCCCACTTTGAAGGTGCGACCATTCTGGCCCTTCCAGACTGTGGAGTCAGGGCTGTGGAAAGAGGAGCTGGTAAATAGGATGGAAACAGGCCGCAGTTAGGGCTGGACCCTGGCCCACATTCAGCTCACTAGGCTATGTGCCTTGGAGCCGCGTCTGCCTGGAGGAAGGGAAGCCGTTTCGCTAATGTGATAGGGCTCTATGGACCAGCAGTGGCTCCAGCAGGGAGGCTAGAACCATGCTGGAGCATTCAGGGCCCAGTGGGGAGAGAAGAGACAGAAGATCAGGGTTCAAGGAGCTGGAGAGAAGCAGAGACGGGATCAGGAATCAGGAAGGTTGGGAGGGTATCCTCCTGGGGATGCTTGGGAGGCATGGGGCTGTCACCTGCCCTCGATGACTGTGATGGGGTCACCAGGCTCCATCCTCAGGGCGCCTGGCTCTGTGACATCCCTCACACAGCATCCTTCTGAAGGCCAGGCCTGTGGAGACAGGAGGAAAGGGTGGCTGGGCTTGTGGCCTGAGTCAGAAAGGTAATAATGGGAGCAGGAATAAAGAAGAGCCCCGCTCTGTATGTCGCCTGTGCTAGGCCCAGGGTGGGACTCTCCCTGTGCCCCAGTTGTAATTCAGTGAGGGAGGCAGACCTGGATCCCATGACAAACAGGTCAGGGCTCAGGGAGCGAGAGAGGAGGGCCCTGGCTCTATCTAGGGGCACTGACGGGAGCATCACCCCGTACTCTGCTTTTACTCCACATCCGGGCCCGTCAGATTCCTCCCAAGCCCCTCTGGGAAATTTCCACGGCTCTGCAGCCCCACGGCCTCTACCCTCATCCAGACCTCCTCATCTTTCTCTGCTTCACAGCCACTGTTGCCTACCTGGTCCTTCATCCTCGTCATCAGCCCTCTAATCCATTCCTGCACCACCCAGAGTGTTGTAATTGGCAGAGCGGCTTGTCACCGCCCTGTTCAGTAGGCTTCCATGGCTCCCAAATGCCTTCAGAGTGAAGACTAAACTTTAGCAGTAGAGTGTAGCAACTTAGGGAACAGCTCTGAAGTCAAATCGATGGGCTCAAATCCCAGCTCCTCCATGTATTGTGTGACTTTAGGCAAGTCACTTAAACAGTCAGTGCCTCAACTGCCCATCAGTAACATGGAGATAATAATAATTACCTCATCCAGGCCGGGCACAGTGGCTCGCGCCTGTAATCCCAACACTTTGGGAGGCTGGGGCGGGTGGATCATTGGAGGTCAGGAATTCGAGACCAGCCTGGCTAACATGGTGAAACCCCGTCTCTACTAAAAATACAAAAATTAGCTGGATGTGGTGGCAGATGCCTGTAGTCCCAGCTACTCAGGACGCTGAGGCAGGAAAATCGTTTGAACCCAGGAGGTGGAGGTTGCAGGGAGCTGAGATCCCACCACTGCACTTCAGCTAGGGTGACAAAGTGAGACTCTGTCTCGGTAATAATAACCTCATCCAGTGGTTGAGGGAACTAAATGAGTGAATCTGCATAGTGCCGACGTAGAGCGGACACTGCAGCGTCCCCGACAGGTCAATTGCTCTACACGTTAGTTAGCTTAACACACCTTGCAAAGCCCTCCATGACACAGCTCCTGCTCACTCGGTGGCCTCATTACTTCTATTTTCCCCTCCCATGCCGAACGTTTCTCTTCCTCTGCCTGTCAACACCCACTGCAGCTGACTGCTGTCTCCTCTACGGCCCTTTTCTGCCCCAGACACAGACCCCAGCCTTTCAGCTTCCATCTGTGTAGCCTCAAGCCGCCTCCCCAGAATTCTGAGCTCCCTGCAGGTAGGGACTGCATCTGATTTGCTCAGAGCTGAGTCCCAGGGCCCAGCACAGGCATCTGGATACGTCGGTCTTTGTATGGCACTCTGGAAGGGCGAATGGAGGGCAGAGAGACTGTGTATCTGGTGAGCGAGGGGGTCCCCACCTCTTGCAGCAGGTCTTCCAGGTGGGTAAAGCTAGGCCGGTCAGCAGGATGGGGGGCCCAGCAGCGCAAGGCGAGGGAGTAGAGGGTCCTGGAGCAGAGGGGGGGCCTAGGCAGCCGGGCTCTGTCCTCCAGCCGCTGCAGGATGAGGTACGGTGGGACCCCAGCCCAGGGTTCCTCGCCCCCGGAGAACATCTCCCACAGCGTCACCCCAAACATCCACACGTCCGAGGCAGACGAGAAGGCTCCGTGGCGCAGGCTCTCGGGGGCACACCTGCAGAAGCAAGTGGAGCTGAAGAGGGCCGGACACGTGCTCCTTGGCGCTCACCTTCCACGGAGCACCCCAGGGCGCTCCCATCGTCCACAGAAGTCCCCTTTTCCAAGGAGGATAACCCCTCCTGTCCCAGCCTGCCTCAGAAGCCCGGCCCCCTCCGATCTCCCTCGGCTGTTGCCCTCCCCATGCGCCCTGCTGGGAGCCCGACCGCCCCCGCCGCCCCAGCTCACCAGGCGTAGGGGATGGGGCGGGGCCCGCCCATGACGTAGCGGCCCCGGGCGCCGCTCAGAGGCCGCACCAGCCCGAAGTCCGCCACCTTGATGGTGCGCGCCGACGCCAGCAGCAGGTTGCGCGTCGCGAGGTCTCGATGCACCAGCCCGCGGGCCCCTAGGTAGGCCATGGCCCCCGCCAACTGCCGCAGGAAGAGGAAGAGCAGGGCCACAGGCAGTGGGGGTGTCGGGGCCGGGGCCGTTAGGCGCGCGTGCAGGGAGCCCAGTGGCGCCAGCTCCATCACCTGCGGGAGGGAGCACCGTGCCGCGTCAGCCGGACCCACAGGACTCTGGCCGCCCACGCTCGTGCCGCACGGCTCTCGGGGAAGCAGCGGCTGGACCTGCTCACCATCTGCAGAGGCTGGCCCAGTACCAGGCCGTGCAGACGCAGCACGTGCGGGTGCTCCAGGTTCATCATGACCGACACCTCTCGCAGGAAGTCCCCCAGCTCTGTGCCCACCGGGCCTTCAGGACCTACCCGGAGGGACTTGACAGCCACTGGGACCTGGAGGTGGGGGGAAGCGCCTTCAGGCATTGCGGGCATGAAGAACAGAGGGGGCAGCTGGCCTGGATGACGCAGGCTCCCCGGACACTCACACTCTTGCCGCTGGGCAGCGTCCACAGCCCTCGGTGCACCACCCCAAAGCAGCCGGAGCCCAGCAGCTCCCTTCTGCACACAGCACCCTCTGGGATCAGACACTTGAGTCCGCCCTCTGGCTCAGGCAGGTGCAGTGGGCCCTGCGAGGGCAGGGTGGGCTCCTTGTGCTCAGGGGCAAAACCTCCAAGGATCTGAAACAGGGGTGGGAAATCCGGTATGTAGAGCTCTGCATCTCCTCCCTGCCCTTCAACCCCGCCCCCCCCCCCATTCCCAGGCCCAGGCTGTCCCACCCACAACACAGACCTTGTAGACCCAGTTCTTAGACTTAGGCCCGGATCGTTGCCTCTTTAGAGCTTCGGACAGTCTGCGCTGGGCTGTGGGAGGCCAGAATCAGGGCTGGGGTGGAGGTGGGGGTGGGGAACAGTGCAGAGAGATTTCCAGGGAAAAAAAGGGCTGGGAGAGGATTATGGTTGGGGGAGGCAACTGATAGGCTGTGGACAGAGAGAATAGGGCCTGGGGCAAGGGTCGCTCACCAGGCCGGCCCATGCCAATGCTGTCCAGGTCCTCAGGCTTGACAAAGTCGAAGTGCTCTGGCCGAGTGACATTAAGCTCCTCAAGGATGGGCCAGTAAAATTGGGCCAGCTGGATGTCCCGGAGCAGCTTTAGTAGCCACAGGGAGCCAGCCTCAGGAAGCATGTCTGGAGGAGGAGTCCCTAAGGATGGCAGCACTCTCCTTCAGCTGTTCCACCCAGGGTAGGCCCTAGAGAGATCCGGTTTCCAGCTCCACCTGCAAGTCATCAGAAACACTCAGGTACAGAGGTAGGGACACAGCATAGACAGTCAGGATCGCTGCCACTCACACACACAAACCCCAGGTAGAATGTTCCTTATGCCCACAGCATCCGGGTACTCTATCCCCTCACCGATGAGTAACCTGTCCTGCTCACACCTGCAATTTTAGTACACTGCCTGCTCCCACTACAGACTCCAGGTATGTTCCCCTCCTGACTCGGAGATAGCATGGCACATCACACACCCAGAAATACTGCTCTTTTAGACCTGAGCACACAGTGGCACATACACACCTGAGACACTCACTCATACACACCTGAGACACCTCCCTTTCTCCAACATGAGACGTGTTTGCCGACCACACACACTGGAGATGCCCAGATATGCCAACCACACTGTACCTCCGACATGTAGGTAGAGCATGTACACACATGAAGGTACATTGCCTCCCACACACGGCCACACACACATACTGAGACCTACAGATATGCTGCAAAACACACCCGAGACTATAGATACATGTCCGCTTAACGCTGAAGCGTTCCAGCACGCAGTCACAAAACACCCAGGCTGACTGCCACACACGGTGCACATCCATGTCCTTCCATGAGATGTTCCTTGTACAGCCATGTCACATGCACGGGACACGGCAGTTCACGGCCTCCAAACACCTAGACACCACCCCACTTCGCTAAAACATGAAGGTCCACATGAACACAACACACAAGACTTTGAGGTAGAGCAGACACACGTACCTGAGCTATGGGGGCATAGGGCTCCCTCAAGCCAAAAGAGGTCCAGGGTAATGCCTCTCCTCCACTGGAGGCAGCCACATTTGAAATCAAATCAGGCATGGTGATGGCCGCTAGGCTTAGGTGCTGCCTGCGGAGGCGCTGAGGCTATCAGGTACACAGCCTCACACCCACCTGAGCTCAGCCCCAGGTACAGATCCCTGGCGGCAGCCTGAATCACTCTGTCTAACTTGGCTTCAAGGCAACTCCACCAACCTTTATTAAATAACACACACCTGGAGCCCTCCCTTCCCCTACGGTCTAAGCAAGGAGGAAGAAGAAGACCGAGGCTGGGGCTAGTTGGAAACGCACAGGTGGGCTCAGAACCCGGTGCCAGCAGGGGTTGGATGGCGAAGGAGAAAGCCCAGGACCCTGGGGGACCCCGGGTACAAGGCCCTGCGTGCCTGGTGGGAAGGGGGGAGCGTGGGAGAAGGGAGACAGGAGGGAAGGACTCGGGAGAAGGGGACAGGCCCGGTACCCCACAGACTCGCCTCCAGAGATGGCTATTCCTCTGCCCGCGCCAGCCCTGGCCCCCTGCTGGGTGCGGACCCCCCCCTCACCTGGCCGAGGCGGAAGCGGCGACTGCGGAACCTCCCAGGCTGCCTGGGCTGAAGAAGGCGGGACAGGAGTAAATCCTGCGGAGGGCGGGGACCTGGCGGCTGGCCCTGGGCTGTCGAGGGCCGGGCCGCACCCCGAGTTCCCTGGTAGGGCAAGGTGACGGTGGCGAGGGCGGCTGGCGGCCCCTCCCTCCTCCAGGCCAGATCACCCGGAAGGTGAGAAGCCCCCTTTCCTCGTCCTCTGCTCGCCTTCCTTCATGTCTTTCCACTTTTCTCCCAAGAACTTCCCACCCCTCCCCAGACTTTGCTCCTCTGTCTCTGTCCCCCATGCCCTCTCTTGCCAAATCCTTCTCCTCTCAGCCAGGACCCCACCCCTGAAGCGAATAAGCATCCGATAAGAGCTGTCCTGTCCAGGCACGGGGAATAAAGGCTAAACAGGACGTAGTTCCTGCCCTCTGGCAGGGGGTCCAGAACTTCCTAGCACTCTTTGCTTAATGAAGCCTGGAATGGGGCCAGGGCAGAGAGATGTTGATGTTGGTACAGAGAGCAAGCCCCAGACTAGAAAGAGTCTACAGTGGAAGCTGCTGTTGATCATGGACAGCATTCCATGCCTCAGGGCACCCTTCCCCATCACTGACACGGCTGGGCTTCATTCCAGCATAATGCCTGCCCTCCATGTAAGCTCTGCCGAAACCAGCGACCTGCACACTGCTACATGGCCTGTGCCCAATGGGACTCAGTCCAGGACCTTTAAGAAGGCCCCAGGGAGGAGCATTTCTCCCACTTTCCTCTGGGGTCCCAGAGAGGAAGCCGCCAGGACATCTAGTCTGCCCCCGTCCCAAGGAAGGATACGTGAACATAGCAGCTGCTGTCCAAGGGTCTCTTGGAGGGGAAAACCCTCCCCGTCTTGGTAAACATGTGGGATGTTGGATCCCACCTGCCACCACAGTGTTTTCCAGCCTTGGCTCTTCTTCTTCCTCTTTGCTTATGATGTGAAGGAAGGGAGGGGTCCAGGTGTGTGTAAGGGAAATTGTGAGCGGACAGCGGGTACCCAGGGGCCTGGAGCTCTATATAACAAAGGTTGGTGGAGTGGCCTTGAAGCCAAGTTAGACAGAGTGATTCAGGCTGCCGCCAAGGATCTGTGGCCAGGGTCAATCCCTATGTGGATCCTGTGTGGGACAGGAAAATCTTCATAATGCTGTTTCATGGTGTTGTCTTCTTGCAGCGGATCGCCTGAGGTCAGAAGTTCAAGACTAGCCTGGCCAACAGGGCAAAACCCTGTCTCTCCAACCAGGACCACTCATCACACTATAATTGTTTCTGCACATCGGCGATCTCTGATACAGGTTCTGTGACTCCACAGGGTAGAGGCGGGGCTAATTTTTTTTGCCCAGCTAATTTTCGGGGTATTTTTGGCAGAGATGGAGTTTCACCATGTTAGCCAGGCAGCCAGGCTGGTCTTGAACTCCTGACCTCAGTCGCTCCACCTGCCGAGGCAGGCCTCCCAAAGTGCTGGGATTACAGGTGTGAGCCCCCGGGCCTGGCCTAGAAGCCTTTTTATTTCTCCCTTCCTCCCTATTTCTTCCTTTTTTTTTTTTTTTTTTTTTTTGGTGAGACAGAGTCTCTCTCCATCACCCAGGCTAGAGTGCACTGGCTCGATCTCAGCTCTCTGCACCCTCTACCTCCCAAGTTCAAGTGATTCTCCTGCCTCAGCCTCCCACATAGCTGGGACTACAAGTCTCTGCCACCATGCCCAGCTAATTTTTTTTTTTTTTTGTATTTTTAGTACAGATGAGGTTTCACCATCTTGGCCAGGTCGGTCTTGAACTCCTGACCTCAAATGATCCACCCACCTCAGCCTCCCAAAGTGCTAGGATTACAGGCGTGAGCCACCGCACCCGGCCTATTTCTTACTTTTGGACTTAAGTTTCTCTCCTCCCCACCTTTGCCCATAAAGAGGATAGGATATGGGGGAAGCACAGCCTGGCCACCCTATGGCCATCAGGAAGCACCTCCTCCAGGCTGGGATGCAGCACCCATTAACACTTAAACCTGGAGACACAGATGGGACACCACCCACTCCCTAACCTCTGCCCTGCCCTGCAGGCTCTGCATCCGGGAATGATAACCACATTCACAGCAGCAGGGCCAATTGTTCCCCCACAGGGGAAGATAAGCAGAGAGGGTACTGAGCTGCCTGGCTGGCCCTTCACCGCCTTGGATGGGGGTGGGATGGGAGACTCACAGGTTGAGTGAGGCCAATTCCTGTGCAGAGGCCTTTCCATGCCAATGAGGTACCACATTAGTACCTCCTTAGCTTCTCCCTCCCTGCTCTGATGCTGACATCACTGAGCTCTACCTCTTCCACCTCCCCCAAGCCAGGCTCTCAGTGGGAAATTTCTGAGCGTCTTGGCTCCCTCTTCCCTGAGCCTCTGCATGACTGTTCTCTCTGCTGGGAAAAGTCCTCCCAGTCTGGCCTACTCTTGTCTCACCTGCTAAGTGCAAGACACCTATCCCTGGCCAGGTGCGGTGGCTCACACCTGTAAGCCCAGCACTTTGGGAGGTTGAGGCGGGCAGATCGCCTGAGGTCAGAAGTTCAAGACTAGCCTGGCCAACATGGCAAAACCCTGTCTCTACTAAAAATGCAAAAAGTAGCCAGGCGTGGTGGCAGGTGTCTGTAATCCCAGCTACTTAGGAGGCTGAGGCAGGAGAATTGCTTGAACCTGGGAGGTGGAGGTTGCAGTGAGCTGAGATTGTGAGATTGTGGCCACTGCAATTCAGCCTGGGCAACAGAGACTTTGTGCCCCCTCAAAAAAAAAAAAAAACAACAACAAAAAAGAAAGACACCTGTCCCTGACTGGTTTATGTCTTCCTCTGCGCCCCAAGACTCCCACGCCTTCCTGTCATTGCACTCATCACTCTGTAGAATGTGCCAGTAACTTGTTTCCCCTGCTAGACTCTTAGCTGCAGGTAGACAAGGACTCCATCTTCCCTGGGCATTACTACGTCTCCCATGTTCAGTCTCTCGTGTAGGGCATGTTGGGAGCCAGGTGCCTGACTTATGTGCTAAGTGCTCAGCAACGTTTGCTGAACGAATGGGTGAGACAGAGTCATCTGAATCGGGTGAAGCAAAGGAGAGGTTTGAAATTAAGAGCTCCAGGCCAGGCACGGTGGCTCACACCTGTAATCCCAGCACTTTGGAAGGCCAAGTCAGGTAGATCACAAAGTCAGTAGTTCGAGATCATCCTGGCCAATATGGTGAAACCCCATCTCTACTAGAAATGCCAAAAAAAAAAAAAAAAAAAAAAATCAGCCAGGCATAGTGGTGGGTATCTGTAATCCCAGCTACTCAGGAGGCTGAGGCAGGAGAATAACCTGAACTGCAACCTGAGGTTGCAGTGAGCCAAGATCAAGCCACTACACTCCAGCCTGGCGACAGAGAAAGATTCTGTCTCAAAAAAAAAAAAAAAAAAAAAGACTGTGAATCTGAACAAGTTACTCCACATTTCTATCTGTTTCCTCATCTACAGGATACGTGTGTTAGGAGTATCTACCTTATGGGGTTATTGGAGAAGTAACTGTGTCCACCTGTGTGGTAGCCAGCCTCCAAAGTGGCTGCTGCTGCAACTCCCCTCCTGGTATTCCTACTGTAATACAGTCTCTTCCCACAATGAATGGGGCTCATCAGTGTAATCAGTGGGATCCCCAGAAGGGATAGTGTGTGACTTCTGAGACAAGTCGTGTAAGGCAGCATGGCTTCTGCCTGGCTCTCTTGATCACTCCCTCTGGGGAAAGCCAGCCACCATGTCAAGAGGACATTCAAGGCCGGGCACTGTGCCTCACGCCTGTAATCCCAGCACCCTGGGAGGTCAACGTGGGCAGATCACTTGAGGTTGGGAGTTTGAGACCAACCTGGCCAACATGGTGAAACCTCGTCTCTACAAAAATACAAAAATTAGCCAGGTGTGATGGCAGGTGCCTGTAATCCCAGCTACTTTGGGGCTAAGACAGGAGAACTGCCTTCGCTCCAAAGTTGAACCCTGGAGGTACAAGGTCAGGGGTTCAAGACCAGCCTGGCCAACATGGTGAAATCCTGTCTCTACTAAAGATATAAAAAATTAGCCAAGCGTGGTGGCACACGCCTTTAATCCCAGTTACTTGGGAAGCTAAAGCAGGAGAATCACCTGAACCAAGGAGGCAGAAGTTGCAATGAGCCATGATCACGCCACTGCATTCCAGCCTGGGCGACAAGCAAGACTCCCTCTCAAAAAAAAAAAAAAAAAAAGAGGACATTCAAGCAGCCCTGTGGAGAGAGCTCCATGTGTCAAGGAACTGAGGCATCCTGCTAACAGCCAACACCAACATGCCAGGCACACAAGTGGGCCCATCTGGGAACCTGATCCTCCAGCCCCATCAACCCTTACATTTCTGCAGCCCTGACTGACATCTTGGATACAGCATCGTGTGAGGCCCTGAGCCAGAACCACCCAGTGAAGCTGCTCCCAAATTTCTATTTTTTTTTTTTTTTTTTTAGTGGGGTCTCACTCTCTCTCTCAGGCTAATGTGTAAT